ATAAACGACTGTTTAACTGTGACAATGGACGGATCGAAACGCACCAATGACATTAAGAGCCTTCATAGCCAATGACATCACGGCTTAACTCATGTTAACTGACAGACGACCAATAAGATCGCGACTTGATTGACCAATCAGGTCAATATAATATGTAAGGGTTATCGGCCTGAAGCGAGGGGTTATGTGATTTATTCCACTCGTGCGTTGCCCGACGGCGCAGCCCGAGGGCAACGCAGGAGGGGAATAAATCACATAACCCCTCGCTTCAGGCCAATAACCCTTACTTATTTTTACATAAGCTTATGTAAAAATAAATAGATTTAGCCAGGGCTAAAAGCGAAACTCTCGATAATATTTAAAGTTTGTTCAAACAAAATATAAAATTGCGTAATGCTACGCGGTGAAGGCAACGCCGGAGAACGGTGAAAAACAACGATAGGTCTAATTAGGAAAAAAGCAACTTCGCACTTGCAGCACACTTTTTTTGTACATTTCTTTGCCGTTGTTTTGCACGACTACAACGTGAAACTTCCAGAAACTTCTTAGTTACACGTTTTTTGGAGGAAATGTCGTACGTGTTCTCGTTCACTTTTTTTTCACTGCCGCTCATTTTCACCTTGCATTGGTGGCCACCAGCATTTCTCATTTTATCACCGTCGCCACAAAATTTTCATGTTGCTCTTCCAACAAAAAAATGTCTCTTTTGTTCTTTTTTCTCGTTGAGCTTCGCTGGCCTGCCGCCTGCTTTCTCTTTTTCTCTGTCTCTCTCTTGCTCTATATTCCAAATTTGTGGACGTGACAATTAATTTAAGCTTAATACTTTAGACACCACTGATACAGAAACAATTTCCGCTTTCCTTTTTCGTCTTTATTGACTCTTTAGTTGTCTTTGCTTTACAAGACGCCAGTGGCTATTCGATTTCCCGCCAAGATAACCTCGAGTTGCATTTGGGTTGCCATACATGTTGATTGAGTTATTTTGCATTGGTGTGCCTGTGGTGCGGACGGACGGTCGGTCGGGCGTTGTACGGTCATGTGATTACCAAATTTTCTAGGGTGGGTAGATTTAATTCGCTATGGGGCTCCGCAAACGTGCGCTTTAGGTGCGCAAGGAGCTCCGCTATAACGAGACTTAAATACCATCAATGGACGTGATACAACGCACTTTGACTCTGAAGATGACTACCGCACAAGTTGTCGAAACGTCAGTCGATGTCAACTACAGTCCTATTCAGGAATGGGCTCGGCTATTATATAGAGGATATTACATGGCTGTGCGGAGATAAGAAATTTCTCTTGGAGTGTTGAAAAATATATATATATATATATATATATATATATATATATATATATATATATATATATATATATATATATATATATATATATATATATATATATATAGTGTTGAATAATATATATGATATGTCTTTTCAACACGAGAAGAGAAATTTCGTATCTCCAAGCGGCCATGTAATATCCTCTACATGTGAAGATACCAAGTTTTCGCGCGAAAGCTTACCTGGTATTTCATGGGTGTTTATATAATAAATTGCATTATGGTATTAAGTTAAAGAAGCTAATAATTATAATAATAATAATATTAATAATGATAACAATAATTAATAATAATAATATTAGTTGTCTTGAAAATATCATTTTCGACTGACTTATTTTTACAGTTTATTTTTTCTTCCTAATTCAATTACATCAAATAAGACAGAGCAGTGCGCAAGCGATATGTTAAATAAACTCTCGCGACGTTTTTAGAAATATTGCGAAGACTTGGTTACAAAACTGACGAAGAATACCAACAAAAAAAGCGGGAAGGATAAAACCTTACGGTTTGCAATTGTCTTATTGGCTGGAAGCTATGTTTTCGCGCTTCTGATTGGAATAATCGTTATCTATGACGGGTACGTCATCCAGTCAGAGTGTGTCATTTAAAATAGTATACTAATAGAATGTTACCAATTTTTGAAAACAACATCAACAAAAACATGATAGCAACATTTGGTGTTGGAGTGGTGAACATTCACTTCCAACCAATGCGGCCTGGGTTCGAACCCCGGTATCGACACCACATGTGGGTGTCCCAAGAGGTTTCACCAGTTAGTTACTCAGGTTGTCTTCTTTCCACAAAAAAATAAAGCTTTCTATTTCCATGGCCAGTTCAATCTAGAACCCACGAACACTTTTAACCAGTTCTTCAGAGTTCCTACGTTTTTCGTGGGTAAGCAAACTACAAAGCACTTAACTAATTTCCCATTTGACAGAGGCACTCAACGACTCTTTTCCGCCAAATACCTGTTCGGAGAAGCAAAAATTGCCTAGAATTTCCTATAGCTTGAGGATGGCTAAAAATTTCTAGATGACCGTTCCATTCAAGTACAATTTTCGAAGCTTATCGAATGAATTCCGTACGATTTGCTGAAGTTTAATTTTTCGCATCAAACTCCCCAGATAAGCTTTTTGTTGTGCGCGCATCGAAGGAAACCTAAAATTTTTGGATTCAAAAATGTGATTGAGAGAGGAATCAGAAAAAAGACTCAAGTTGCCCTAGAATGACCAAACAGGTACGAATTTTATAGCACTGCTTAGGATGCATTTCCAAAGACCTTTTAAAAGTACTCTGGATCGCCTAAAAACTGTTTTCAATGAATTTCGGAGGAATCCGTCGGTGGGAGCACTGTTTTCTGCGCGAGACACGAGGTGAAAGGAGACACAATCACATTTTAGCTTTACTATTCGAGTTCTTATTTGGAATATAAAACCAATAAAGTGAGATGACGTAGAATATTTATAAGATATGGTACGCCTCCTTTCGTCCCATTCCTATTTGACGAAATGCATACAAAACCAATATCCCTGTCAACATTTGTATATTGTCAAAATAATTCTTTCCTTTTTATTTTACTGAAGTACTTAGCAGTTGGCTTGACTGCAATTCTTGCGAGTCATTCTTATCTCCGGAAGAGTGCAATGCAACTCAAATCGACGACTCCACCTGCTGGCCACATGACGAGGGAGAACGGTAAGCGATTCTTAGGAAGTTACAGGTGACTACAACAGTCCCCTTTTCAGGATAAGATCTCCTATATCGAGCGATCTTGTTTTCAATTGCACTGAGTGTAACCAAATGAAATGCCAAGTTGGCGGACAAACAGAAAGGGGGACTTTCGAGGCCCGTTTCCTCACTTAAAAGTTGAATACTTCAAAACGGCTCAAGTTATGACCGCCAAACTAAGGGACCGATCATTATTTACAATTATGTAGAGGGGGGTGGGGAGCGAAAAAAGAAAGGGGGGGTAAGGGGGGTCAAGGCTATTTCAGATTGGCTAGAAAGGAGGGGGGTATTTTTTTTTGTAAAGAAGTTTAGGGGGGATCATCAGTTTGATTGCGAGGTATACTTTAAGAGGGGTCCATTGGCCAAGATGGGTAAAGCAGTTAAATAGTAGAGTGCAAACGATATATGTGAAACAGTAATGCTAAATTGTACAATTTATGCTAATCCTATTGCTTTTTGTGATTAAAATAGAGTTCACAGACCTGCACGAGTCCTGCTGTGTTTCCATTGTGTTGTTCACAACCTTTATAGTTTTGCCTTAACAAGCATGTCTTTAAGCGATTTTCCTTTTGTATAAGAGATCAAGGGAAGTTCCTTGAAAATCTCTCTCAGTAATGGTTGCAGGTCTTGTATTAAATGCCATTTGTCCATTAGTATGTTTTTCAAACATCGTAATGATGACTGAAATTGCGTCACAAAGGGTAGAAGAGCTAGCTGTTCAACAGACAAGAAGTGGACGAAAAACTGGAAACTGGTCACGATTAGTATGTTCCATGCATTTTAATAATTACTTTGTAGAGCATGTAAGAGGGGATATGAATTGGGGGGCGGGGGAGGGGTCATCACGAATAAAGAAGGAGTTCACTTGCTATTTTCATGGTCTGCAGGGGGGGGCTTACAGAAATTTTGATCTTTCCAACATATTTTTCCCTTCCCCCACCCCCATCTATATAAATAATGAACGGTCCCTAAGCGACTTTTCCAAAACTTTGTCTGGGTACATTCAAAAATCGTTGTGAAGAGTACGTCAACATTGACGTTACCATGGCAACCGAGTTTTGAAGCCATATTTTTTAAAATTTGTAATTTTCTTTAAGTTTTATTTGTCTCTAATTTAGAATTATTTTATCAGATTTATTATTACTGTTAAAATCCAGGCTTCTAGTGACTAATTTGAGAAAAAAAGTATAATAATTTTTATACTTTGAGAAACTCAGACATCCATAGTTACAACACTAGAAGAAGAAACGATTTCTGTCTTCCTGTCGTTAAAAGGAATTTCGGAAAGCAGAGACTTTTTTTACCAATGCACTAAAGAATGGAACTTTTTAGACGGATCTTTTAAGGAAATTAACTCTCTTCTTCTTTTTAAACAGAGCATTAAAAGCTGTATATTTTAGATATTTTATAGTTTTTAATATTTTAATCTATCTGACACTTTAATATTTTTAACCTGTAGCTTATATTAGTTAAGTTTTTAGTTCTTAACTTTTACTTATTGTTACTATTACGTATTTAGTTATCTAAGATCATTTATTTTTCTAGAGTTTTAAGGGCCTCACTAAATATCACTCTTTGTGAAGTGAGCTCCCTGTATAAAGATTATTACTATTATTATTATTATTATTATAAATTATCAATTTTAAATGCAAAATTGGCAGATGCTTGTTTCAATTTTCAACAGTGTTAATTTCTCCCAGAATTTAATAACTTGCAGATTATTTCGCTTCCTAAGTAGCCTTTTATACACAGATACACTTTTTTTACCACGATTGCCTCAATTTACACGGGTTCTATGTAAAAGGAATCATTTAATTGGCTTAAAACGGCGGAATCATTATAAAGAGAATTAACCGGCTCAATTAAAGCCAATAAAATGGCGATAAAACGGCTGGGAATTCACACAGGAAGGAAGAAACACAACTTAAGTGGGGTTAGCCGATTTTTATTTATGGTCATTATTCGAGTGTGAGCCACCTGGGGCCTAACTATGAAGGACTTAAGATGGCGTAAATCATCAATCTATACCTATTGAATACAAATTTAATTACCCAAAAGTCTAGGATAACAATTTGTTTTTTTGGTTGTTTGTGTTTGGTTTGATTGCATTTTTTCGCCAAAAAGTCGATTGGGGTTATTGTTGATTTTTTCTTATACTTCTAACTAAAAGAATAGTGAATACCCCCACATATAATTATTAAAAATACTTTCCAAGATCAAAGTTGATCTCACTGTCACCTAAACATAAATAATTTTGTGATCTACAGAGAGTACTGTATGGCTCTCATGGCGGCACTCTCAAATGGCACCATCATAGGAATACGGGGCTGTCGTGTTTATACAATGGCAGGATGTAACAGTTCTGTCGTTTGCAACAGTGAGAATGAGACAATGCCACAAGGAGCTCGTTTCAAACGATGCATTGGGGAGTGTTGTTCTAACGACCTATGAAATCAGGGCCTGTACCCAGTACTGGCTCCAGTAACACCAGAACCTGTCAGCAGCTACGCAAGTGTCATCGCAACCAGTTCAAGGAATCCAACCAGCAGCACGAACGGAAAGAAACCAGGACCTACTTCCACAGCTGCAGCCTTGTTGGGTCCGTATCACTGGCTGATCGTCTCAGTGTCGGCTCTGTTTCTGCCTTCAATGTGAAACAAAATCCATAGTACAAAGCAACTACAGCAACTGCCACGATATTTTCTTTCCTGCTAGCATAATAATAGCACAAACTTTTTTGTAAATCCGATGGCTGAATTATGTATTATTCAATCTTTCACTTGAATGGTAGGTTCTTTAAGCAACTAAGTTCAAAATTTTATTTTTCCTATTTTCTATAGCAAACTGTTGTCTCATATTAACATTTTTATCGTTATTTTTGCATGTATTGGTAAGGTGGTTTTCGAAGTGTCTTCTTTTAGCGTTGAAATCAAACTAAGGAAACAGCTGTAGTGTCACATTGATGAACGTGAAAATAAAATCAAGTAAAAGTGGTCGAGAATCTCCGTCTGAAAAGCACACAAAATTGCCCGACCTCTAACAATGGGCATCCGTCCACCAGAGGAATCCACAATAGTGTCAATGTGACACGTGGCTATAGGTCGGGGGAGGTGATTGCTCTTTCCGTGGTCCATGATTGAGAAATGGTTGATTTTTGATTGCATTATTTAGAGCGAAAACGAATTTCTGACATTGTATTCGTTTAGCCTGTCAGCAAGCTCTTGCCTCACCTACCATCGGTATGCAGAGCTTGCTGGCAGGTTACCATTCCTTCATTTCATAAGGAAACTTTGGTTTTTACCTTTCCAAAAGTAGCGTTACTATTGTTCTTGAGCGGTTTTCTCGGTGCTCTTTTCTACCTTGTCAGCACATTCTTCGACAAACAGCTGCATCTAAATACAAGTTCATCAAGGTCAATATTAGCAAGCTTAAAGGGGCTGTCAAGGCAGTCTATAAATGATGATGATGATAATGATGACGACGACGATCATGATGATAATGATGATGATGATAATGATTATGATGATGACGATGATGACGATGATAATGATGATGATGACGATGATAATGAAGATGATGATGATGATGACGATGATAATGAAGATGATGATAATGATGACGATGATAATGACGATGATGATGACGATGACGATGATAATGAAGATGATGACGATGATAATGAAGATGATGATGATGATGACGATGATAATGAAGATGATGATAATGATGATGATGATAATGATTATGATGATGACGATGATGACTATGATGATGATGATGATGACGATGATAATGAAGATGATGATGATGACCACTTATGATGATGTCCTCTTAATACAGCTTCATCCTACTTAAAACTTAGAAAGAACGTTTTCGAAGAACACAAGAACAGTTCAGAAGAACAGTTCAGTTCAATTCAATTGGATTCACTTAGATTTATTTATAGCCTGCGTAGCAAGCGTTTCTGATCGAATTATTGCGCAAAAAATCGCCCTCGTTCCAACAACAGGGGTCTTTTTTGCATGAGCATGCGCGACCGCTGAACAAGCGATGTGCATGGAGGCTCACCACAGGGTTTGCGCGTCTCAAAGCTATCATAGCGATTATGTTGCTCGTTGGTCTTGGCGAATGTGCTCGTGATTTAACAAGATGTGTAGTTTGCAAAAAAAACTCTAACATGGTCTTAACAAAAGCGAAGTAGACGGGCTTTAACATACACGAGCTACTATCAAATTTCATCTCCCCACTTGACCTGGACAACAGCGCGCGTATATGTAGTGCCTGGAGGATTGCAGTGACCTCATCAAAGTCTAAACAAAGTGCAGAAACGTTTGTTGATGCAAGTAAACACTTTCAATTTTCTTTGTTTTGAAATGGGAAAGGAAGAGAAATATTAAAAAAAAAAACATAGCAAATTTCAGAGAGTGGGTTCGAAGTGCGCGAAAGCCGATGTTCAGTTCAGCAGTGAATTAATATATGTTCTACAATTTTCCCAGCACTTTAAAGCTACAAAATTAAGAGCACACGAGACGTAGATTAGTCACCTGGTGAGATGTTGGTGGTAGTCACTCTGTATGTCTCGAACAATAAAAAAAAATGAATATCAATGAGACACAGTCAAAACTGCATTCAATAGGACCGAGATTTAAGTCCAATCTTGTGACCGATTTTGATGAAACAAACGGTTAGGTTTCCCAAGAAGTACAGTAAACATGTGATGCCGACCAAAAGTTAAAAATCATTAGAACATTTAAGTTCTGGCCAAAAGCAAATTCCTGTAAAAGATGCGTTACAATGTTAGTCCACGCAAAAACAAGAAGTTCTACAATTTTCCTATAAACAAACTTTGTATCGCTAAAATACTTAAGGCAAAAACATTCTATTCCAACTGAAAACGGCGTGGTAGTCGCCCGCTGATCGTTATTAATCCACTCCCGAAATATGGCTAAATCAGCTATTAACAAATTATTGACAGAAATCCTCTACGGCATCGAGAAACTAATTTACATCCGATTTATAGAGAAACAATAAATAAAGAACATTTTGCTCAATAGCTACGCATCAACAATGCATTCTATGCCAAACTTTGCGGTTCTTAAAGGGGAATCAAGACACGAGTCCAGCGCCAAACAACAACAAGCAGCCATGTTCGTGTCAGACATCCTTGAGAAACTTGCTCTTTCACCTCGTTCAGCGCATCAGTCTCCACTTTAGATCAACAGATCTTTACTTATTTTGTACAACGAAGGTCTTTCCTAAATTCCTGCTACCATTTCAATCTCAAGCAAGCTTTCAAAGTGAACAATTTGGTTCCTATGACTATGCAGCACGGTCGCTGTCACTGGTCGCGTGCTCTTTGACAAGTCAGCGGTCGCGCATGCTCATGCAAAAAAGACCCCTGTTCGTTCCAACTTGCGCACGTAAATGAATTGATTCAGATTAACTATTTTATATTTCGTATTTTGTTTAGTCATTATTTATCTTTACTCTCCAATCAAACTCGACCAAGATCTCTTGTACTTGACTGTCTCCCTCAACAGACACTCACAAAACAAAGAAATAATGAAATAAACAAAAAGAAAAAAGAAAAAAACACGTGACATAGTTTTGATCCAACTATTTCTTACAAGCGTGCAAAGATGGCGGAACATGTCGTGATAGGATCGTTCCCAAACTGTGTTGGCACACTATTTAAAGACAGAAACCTGGGAAAGTGATCAAGTTAGGCCTTGAAGCAATGTACATGTATTTTTATAAAATCTGTGTAACAATGCTCTTAAAACGAATCTGCATTACATTGAATTAAGGAAAGTGGGCCCACCTTAAGGATACCAGTAGTTGATGATTTGAGAGGCACCAAGGTGGATTCTTTCATCAGAATGTTTTCCTCATCTGCTTGGACCCAAGGAAACTCCTAACAAATAAACGTGATTTAGTCTAATAAAGGGTAACAAATGATATGCTAGGCAAAAAAAAAACAGAGTACACTACATGCACCGTACGATTTTCTGTTTGTTTGCTGATTATTTTGTACTTTTTTTTTTTTTTCAAAAAGTAGTTTGCTTGAAATTACACAGTGACGTCAAACTTCCCCTTACAGACTGACTGATCTCTTAGTCCCAACAATGTGTACGTGGCTTGTGGTTCGTAGAGTAAGAGACAAAGTCGTCGCGCGAAAACTAATCAGATGTGCTCTCTGCGTCCTTTCTCTCGACCTCCCTCCCCCACCCCCATTGTTTTTCTTACTTCATGAAACACGAACGAAAAACACACTGACAAACACATGCTACGCAGGTGAGATCAAGTCGAACAGAAAAGAGTGGGGCTTGAGGAGGAGTGGTTCTACGCAAATAATAAAACTAACACTGAATCCATTGAACAAAAAAGTAAACCGATATAGCATCTTTATCTTAATTATGTGATTCAATCAGGCTGGTTTGTTTTCTTACTCTATATCAGCTTCATACTCGAGAGATGTCTGCCGCGAAATGTAGTATTAATGAGGAAATGTAACTAGCTTACAACCACTGCTCGCCTCCACTAGCTCCAGTTCTGCTGACTTCGGGCAGTGCAGATTTTTTAAGACACATGTAAAGGATTTAGAGATTCTAAGTGAAATGCCAAGAATCAATAGGATTAATCTGATCAATAAGTCAATGATTACTTAAGCTTCGGTAAAACGTGCGACTTGTTTTGTAACATTACTGCAAAAACGAGTTGAACAGCGACGTTGCGTGTTTTACCACCCTCGTTCAAACCTGTTAACAACCTGGGCTGAGTTGCTCAAAGCATGGTTAGCTTTAACCATGGGTTAAGCAGTATCAAAACCAATACGTTGTCAAGGTATTAAACGCTGGTTAACGCTAACCATGCCTCGAGCAACTGGGCCCTGATTTGTTGCAAGACAGGTTTAATGTGGGTAGTAAAACGCGCAACATCGCCAGTCGTTTTGTGGCAATGTTGCAAGAAACGTTACATGCCTTTTTCTACCCGTTTTACCGTACCACTGGTAGTCTTATAAATAGTCCCTGGCTTTTTATACTATTTGCACTTGCAACACACCTGGGCTTTACGATTCTCTTGTAGCTTCAAAAAAGATGATTCTTTAGTATAGACAAGGATGGAAAACGTACATCCTACGAAAAGAAATTAAAATTTTTACCAATCGAAATCCATTTTGCGTTAGTTCTTTTCACTTTACTTGCTACTTCTAAAAAGAACCAGATCAAAAAGATAAAACACAACAGAAAATAGAAATTTCTGAGCGAGTAATAATTTTGGAACCAACGTTGTGAGTTTGAGGCGATGTCTTGGCCGATTTCTATACAATGAAAATAAAGTCAAACCTATATACAACGGTCTCCTTCGAGAAACGGCAAGGTGACCGTTACATAAACAGACCGCTATAAACAGATTTAATTTCCTTTAACTCTACTGAAAGTTAATAAATAACGCTTTTATGAGAAAATTATCACTTTATTCAGAGATTTGAAAGCCGAATACGGTCGGGTAAAGCATAAAGCAAATTCAGATGCTAGAGAATAGGTACTACAGTTGTTTGAAAGCGATAAAATCAGTGCTTTCGTCGCCACAAAGTACATTGATAACGTCACTGTTACGTTTCGTATTTCTAGCCTATACGGCAACCCGCATGTGGGCCGCGTTGTCCTGGCAGAATATCATTTCCTTTTAGCGTGTCTTTTATTTAAGCAATAGACCACACTTTCTACGGGTTTACCGGCGTGATAACCCACGCGGGATGTTGGGTGAACACGAGAAAAGCTTGTAAATCACGAGCCGATGGCGAGTGATTTACAAGCTTTTCGAGTGTTCTCCCAACATCTTATGAGGGTTATCACGCCGGTAAACCCATAGAAAGGGTGGTCTATTGCATTTATAAAATAACTTTAACTTTTCTATGAGTCTACCGGCACAATAAACCGTAGGCTTTTAACCAATCAGACCGCGTGTACTATCTTAGTTATTTTATAATTAACAATTAATGAATGAAGCTGAGTATCTTATGAAGAATTATGGAGATTGAGGAGGGTGTTATCCGTAGAGGCCGTCGGCCGAGGTGGATAACACCCTCCGAGATCTCCATAATTCTTCATATAATGCGAAAGCCGAATTCAATAATTGTTGTATTATTCATTCAAAATAATTCCTAGTTTAAAAACATAGCTAAAACAAGCTTACCTGCATCGATGTTAAGTTTATCTTCGATAGTTTACGTTTAGGTTTGTCCAGCTCCGCAAATATTCTCCAAATAGCAGATGTCGCCCTCCGAGTTGTCTTCTTGCAGTTTTGCTATGTTTTTGCTATTATTACGCCTAGTTCCGGCTGTAGTTTTTACTCTTGAAGCGAGTGAAGTGTCCGCCATTTTTATTTTCACAACCAAAACAACTCAGCCCCGTTCCCTCGGTGCCTTAACCTGTAAGAACACTGCATTTTTGACGTCATTTCCTCGTTAAAGTCAAAATTCTTCCAAATTCGGTCATCAGTAACTGGTTATGGTGAATTATGTGTGTGCTTTTAGCCAATCAGAATTGGGGAAATATTTTGAATGAATATTAATAAAAGATAACCGGTGGATGCAGTAAAAATACGTTGTTTATCAAGTGATGACCAGTGATCGCTCACGCTTAAGTGATCATGCGATCGCTTACGGCGATGGCAGCCAAAACAGCAAGTTATATTTCCAGGCTAGGTATCATCATTAAAATAAATGCCATTACAGATATACCTGGTGGTATTGGCTCCAGCAAGGCATCACATGTATTAATCTTCAGCAAGAAACCTCTTAGGCTTTTCTCTGTATGCAACAGGAAGTTATCATCGCTAGAAGAGAAGCAGTTACTAATAAGTCCGCAAGGCGCACACAGGGAAACCGTCTTGGAGGGATGTGCGAACAGTTTTAATATAATTAACAACTTTTCCTTTGTCATTTGGCAGGAGCTTCGCGCTTGCTCGGAACTTCCATTCAGGCCCAAGAGATAACTGTTTTATCTGCTAAAGAGCATTATTCATGCTAGTTTTTTATCCCCTTATGTAAAAATAACTGTATGAGCAGTTTTCAATGACGGCAAGTTCAAAGAAATCGTTATGAAAGATAATAACTTGTCACTTGGTGAATTCTATAAGCTGTAATCAACATGTCACGGGCGTGGGTAGACTGCTTATTTTCCTTTTAAGACATAGTAGTTCGACAGCGCGCATAAGGGGTCAGCGGCAAAGCCGCGAGGAACAAGAGCCGACTCCTTTTACCACTAACGTACATCATTTTACTTTTTTTCGCTACCCGCGCGTGGCGCTGAGGAAAAAAGGAAGACCGCCCGCGGTCTAAAGCTTTGGACCAATATGAACCTAGCTAGAATGGAAATTAGAAAGGATAGATTACCCCTCCCTCCCCCCCCGCTCCCCTTGTTCAGGAGGTCATCGAATCCCTTCGGGGACGCAAGATTTTTTCTTTGTCCCACGCCCGTGCATGCTGGTCATCACATCTTTCACAACTTGTCTCTTGTTTCACATGCCTCATCCGTGACTGGCCAATACCTCAGCGTTATCCCGCACCCCCACCTCCTAAGGTGCTTTGGGGAAATTGAGCTTACTGCAGAACCCCGATATAAAAAGAGTGTCAAAAGCCAGAATAAATTGTTCGCTATAACATGGGTCCTCTTCTATTACATTTTACCATAAGTAGGATGAACAATGACATTCTTTATATTCTAAGTGTTTGTTTGATATACAGGGTTCTTTCTAGCAGATTTCACATTCAATGACCTTAAGTACATGCGCACTCAACATTTTCAAAATTTCGACGGGTTCCTCAGTTTTCATGTTAAAAGGGGTGTCGAGGGTTCTTTTTAGCCTGTTCTTGGTTCTCAATTATTAATAAAAGATAAATTAAGCAAAGAGGAAAATCTCTGGGGGAAAAATTAACAACAACAACAACAACATCAACAACAAACTTTCTTTTCCGTACAACTTCTAGCTGTGGACATTATTTTCAACCAAACTGTTTTAACACAGTCAGACCTATGACAAAAATGTAAAAAAGTCATAAAATTTCAACCACAATGCTTACCTCAGTGCTGCAGAACTTTCTTCAGGACTCCCAATCTCAAAAACAAACCGCTCAACTGGCTGAAATTTCTAAAAGAGGACAAAATATGAAATGTCAATAGTTATTAAAACAATTTAATAAATTTATTGCATTAAAATTGAGTTGCATCAATCGTTTTCAAAAATATTAATCCAGTCACAATGAACATCACCAGTGTTATGATCATGTTATGATGTCTGATTAATTTTACTAGATCTATCTTCTTGCGAGAGGCACGCATGAAGTATGTAAAAGAAATTGTCTAATTACCAAAACATGAAAGCAAAATAGTTGACAGGAACTCACATTATTAGAGATCACCATGGCAATCCTCTCAACTTCACCCTTAAAGTTGGATAAAATTGAAACAAACAATCATAAAATGATATTGGAACAATAGCACTTGCCTGACTTTCAAGCTCAAAAAAAATGTACATGTTATTGTTAAGTTTTTATCTCAGACAGGTAATTTTTATTTTCTTTTGTTTCAACTTCATTAGCATACATCACCATACCCAAAAACAAAGGAAAAACAAAAATTACCTGAGATAAAAAGTTAACTACGACATAATTATATACTGGTATTTGTTTTCTTTATTTAGAGTAAACAGAGTTTCAAATCCCAGGATTAGGATATAAAACTTATTAGCATAAACAAGTTTTAGATTCTATTGTGGAATCTTTATCAAGTGAGGGAGTCGGACATTTTCTTTTTCTCAGTTTGATAGCGGCACATGGTTCAGGAGAGGGCGGTTTTTTACGATCAGATCTTTCTTGGCAGAATTGTGTGGTGGCTTCATTCATAAGTTTGTTTGTTGTTTGTAACGGAGCAAAAAGCTGTTGTCTTTAAAACTTATGCTTTTGAAAGCACTAGCTGGATAGTTTTATTATTCAGATAAAATATCTGAAGAGAGAATCAAGCAAATCAGCCAGGAAAATCACTAAAGTACTGCAAAATTGCACTTTACCTTTTCCAATAAAGGCTTTACCATCTGAAGCACATCTAAGATGTACTGGTTGAGGTCTGGGTGACAACACATCTATTAAAATAACAAATAACAGTTTTAGTCTTTCATAACTCAGTTTGGGTCATAGACTTACACATTTTTTAGAACCTTAACTACATGTAGTAGTAAAAGATTGAAGCTTTTAATTAAAAGGGCTCTAAATCAGTGAGGAATCAGGATGAATACCAAACCAAATGTATTCATAAAATATACATGATTAAAGAAATACTGAAAAGTCAACGAAATAAATCAAAAAAACAATTATTTATATTATTATTTCATTCACTATTTCCAAGTGATTTGCCCCAATCACCCGGCTAATAGAGAGGAGAAGTAGTTACGTCACATTCTCATGGTGGCAAAATTCCTGGATGACAACAACCAAAAATTCACTTAAAAGTGAAAAAAATTCACACTGTTTCAAACTTAATTGATATTCTTAATTAATTTGTCAAATGAATTATATAGGACCCTATTTAAGTTTAGAAAAAGAAAATTTTTGTGTCATGTTTACCTACTCCACAAAGTAAGTTCATGAAATTAAGAAGTTTCATGTCCTGGTCCTGCAACAACAGCTAAGGAATGTATAAACTTATTGCTTTTTAACTGTTCTGGTTGCTGTCATCATCGTCATTGCTTAAACTCTCTATTATTGTGATCCAGATTTTTTGCTACCATGGTAACGTGATGTCACACTTTTTCTCTCTATTCTTCAATACTACCGTATTTATTCTAATAAGCGCCCAACCTCAAATTACCGCCCACCTTGAATAAGGTGTCACACTTTTTCCTCCTCCCAATCAAACTCAATTTGGAAAATGGAAGGCAATTGAGGAGCCCTGAGGATGAGGTTGGATTGTCTTGGTAGAGCTGGTGAAAATGGCCCAGAATTTCACACCTTTTGCAAAGACAAAATGCCTCAAACTACTGCCTAAGATTAACAAAATGCAAACTCAATGGATCATCTTCAATATTTGAAGAATAAACATCCCCATGGTAGGCAAATGACCAAACCCTGGGTTGGGTCATTTTTGATGACCCACCCTTTACATTAAAGCAAATTGATAATCAAATAAATTTTTATTAACTATTTCACTTCAAGAATTAATAATTGAATTGTGGAGAATGAAATGGTGCTACATGTACATTGTATGCAATGTCATGCAGGTCTGCTACATGTAACTTTAACAAGTTCCGTTCATCAACTCGTTTAGACTAGGTGCCAGTTCTTTTCGGTTTTATACACAATGAAATGCTGGATTGTTAATGATTCAACATGCAGGGGTGCTCTTTGAAAGAAAATGAATTAAAGACAGTTTTTTTTACTTATAAAAGGTGATAAAAATTACAATCAGTACAAAGGCCCTGACAGCATTACATTGCATAATAATTAGTCATGAATGCATAACTTCTGTAGGAAACAGGCCTTGAGGAAGTCTAAATTTTAATTACTTGTACACTGTAGAACATATAAAACCATTACTAACCTGTACAGGAACATTGTATTTTTTCCGTCTTTCAAACACTATAGCAGGATACACTTCCCTTATGTACAAGATGAGGTGAAATGCCACTTCTAAAAACTCACACAACACACCACCTGAAACTAAATCAACAAGTAATGATAGCGGAGTTTTCATTTCCTCCTTTAAGACCTGGTGGTAATGTTCCGCAGAGTTGGGGGAGGAGGGGTCTACTCTTTCATTTGACCTTTAGGGGTGTGTGCTGCCCACCAGGGTATGACGTTTTCTGGTTTACTGTCTTGAAAAGGGTGTCTTTTTGGAAGAAAAGTCTTCCTGAAAGCCTTGAAGTGGGTGTGAACACTGCCAATCTGTGGTCTACATGAGTGGCACCAGTGGCACTTTTTACAACTCTTTATTCTATGGTGTCATTTACTTAACAAAATATTCAATTCTGTATGTGAAATAAAATCAGGGTCGCAAAAAAAGTATCTAGTCTTGACAGGATGACAAAAGGAACAGAGTTTGAAGGCCTTAGTAGAGCAAACATATACAAAACATGGGACCATGGTCTATGGATGACCCTTGTGGACCTATGCCTTCAAGACCCATTCTATGGACTACCCCAGTGCCCCAATTACCCCAGTTTCCGAAGAAGAACTATACCAGTTATCTGGCCAAATTTTAGGGACTTTAATAATATTGGGCTATACTACTATCATTAAGATCTTTATTTCAAATTCTTTTGAGTGAAAATTTTCTGGAATTTTATACCACTATAATGAGTTTCATCCAATGCATGTAATTGCAGGGCTCACGTTATTACTGAATCCTGCTTGCAGAAAATTACCTGCCAATTAATAATATGGTTTGTCTGAGGTCTGGCATACATAATTATTTTCACACCAAATTTAATATCTGTTCAAATTCCATCCAATCATAGCCTGTATTCTATGTGTGGTGTCGCATTGTCTCCTAGAAAGCTGTCATTCATCTCGTCACGTACGTTAGTTTGTGTTTGACTATCACGTGTGTGCTATCCCTGCCGAGAACTTTTAAAATTTTATGTCCACTTAACATGGTATGGTTTTCTTTGTTTGCAATTCCAATTTTTTTTTTTTCTGTAGAACCATGCATGCTTTAAATTATTTATCTGGTTTCCATCTACATGTGACAAAAACCGATGAACAATGCTGATAATCTGATAACGATCAGCTGGAAAATTTACTGATCCAGCATTGTACAGTTTGAAGTTGAACATTTTAGTGCCAAGGATGCTTTTCAGTTTTTGCTGCAGAAACCTTCAATCTTTGATTCAGTTACTGAGAGCATAGCATAACCCTGGCTGTCAATGCTGACTCCTCTGATCTGATGCAAATGGACATCAAAGGGGCTCATTCTTTCCATGAAAACTGATGTCATTGTTAATTTGCTGATAAAAGATTGTTCATTTCTGTGGGTTGATGAAACAGTTGGAAAGGAATGTGGTTCAAATGTGAGCAGCTGTTTAATTGGGAAGTTAGTTGGGTGACAAGACAAAAACAACTGTGGGGTAGATTAGATAACTATATAATGACAGCCTCAGTCTGCAAGCACATGTGTATGTAGAAGATAGATAACTTGAAATAACAGCTTCAGTCTGCACGCACATGTGTATGTAGGAGATAGATAGCTATTATAATAACAGCCTCAGTCTCCATGCTCATGTGCATGTAGGAGATAGATAACCATATAATAACAGCTTCAGTCAGCATTCACATGTGTATGTAGGAGATAAGCGGATTTCAGGGGAAAAATATGCAGGGGAAAAGAAGAGTTACCATTTTTTGCTTAAAATAGAATCAGTTTTGTAAAGATTGTGACATTTATCATTTACAAGTACAGTTTTTTTGTCAACAAAAGAAGTCAAATTCTATGGACCGAAAGGCAAACTTACCAGCCAAGAGATCAACAGTTTGTTCGGCGCTTTCTTCTCTTTGCATAGTTCTTGCGCAGCGGCTAATTTAAGAAACAAGAAGACAAGTGTTGTTCCTGTACACGTTATCCTCTTGCCCTTCTCGGAGCCCGCTCAGCCGCCATCTTCAACATCGCCGATCAGAGAGAACCTGGGTCGATTCTCGTTCCCAGACTGCTAGGCTAGCTGCTAATATTTCACCTTTCAAGCATTTGACATAGTTAATTCTACCATTCCATCATATCTTCATTTCCTTAAATTTAGCTGTTTTTGATATTGTCATTTTAATCGCTAACATCTGTACAAAATGGTAATACTGAATAAACTTGTTGTTGTTGTTGTTTTTTTGACTGCCCGCGGGATACCCTTTTTTTTCGTTCACTTTTCGGGGACACTCAACGACTGTTTTCTGTAAAATATCCTGTTCCGAGAGGCATACATTGCCTAGGATTTTCTACCATTATCAATTATCTAAAAGTAGTAACTGTTCATCAGTAGAATGCCTAAAATGTGTGCAATTCCACAATTACTGATAAACTTGAGGTCGACTGTGTACGCTCATTTTACCCCATTTAGAGCTAGTCAAAGCTACGCAGAAAGGCAGAGATGCCAGCCTCTGGAGATCTAAAAACTGGAGACTCTCTCGTAAATTGTAAACACATATAATTCTCTGAGGTGACTCTGAAAACAGCAGATCATTTAGTGTCCTGTTCTTAGTATTTGTATTTGAAAGCCCAGACCAAATCACTAGTCGGCTAAAACAACAGTCCAAAAAAATAAAAAAAAAATGACAACAAGCTTGTTCTTTTGGTAACACTGCACTGGTCTTTTCTGTTTTTAAATTCCTCTTTGGAAACCAATATACCACGTGACAAGTTTTTTCCTTGAATATATAGGCTGCCCTTGGTCGCTTACTGCTTATTTTTTCTAGAGAAAACAATAACTTTCATAGTTTAATCCATATGAATTATTCTAGACGGCGGTTTTAAAAATGTCATTTAGAAAGTGACGTTTTCCCGTTAAACGTGAATGTAAATCTCTCCTACTTTAGAAAAAAGTTAAGAGTGGAAGCAGAAATAAGACGGGCAAAGAAGTAGCACAAAATAGTTGTAGGTCCTTGGCGATGGGGCTCATATTAAGGCCTCGTCCACAAGTATTTTTGAAAACAGAGATTTTTTGCGTTTTTGCTAGACATATGGCATATTGGAATCGTTCTCCCTTCTTCACACAAAAACACTAAAACAATGGAAATACGATAGCATGTATGACACCATCGCATTCGAAAACTTCCGTTTTCGTCCTTCCACGCGGAAACGATAAGCCTGCTGTTTTCTGAAAAAACTCCCTTTTGGGGACGGTTTTCAGAAACCTGCATTTTTGGTGGCCAAAGACACCGTTAACATGTGGACGAGAGGCTAAGACCGAAAGCAAATCTCCGTTCTTAAAACAACAGGGGCACCCAAGGAGAATATAGGTCAAAACCACCTAAATGAGTATTGTTAAACGTATTTTAGTATTTAGACGGTAGATATAGGCATATTTTTGTCCTCTAAAATTTTTCATCTCTTCTGATTTCCTAGCTGAAAGTCTGGCGACCCGAAAATACAGGGATCAAAACTTACCTTTTAGAAAATTCAGCCGGAGAAGAGGATCCCGAATATTCTAGGTGACCTTTTTACGGTAAAAATCCGTTAAAAATGGGCAATTATACCATTTTTTAGATGTTCGAAAATCCTAGGAGAGGCAGGCGAGCAAGAAATTTCACAACAAATGTTCCGGAAATTCTAGATCTCAAATCATCTTCCGAACAGATATTTTCCGAAAATTGACGTTGGGTGCCTCTGAAACAATATCCGGATATGTGTGGACTGGGCAGGTAATCTAAAACTAACTATTCCGACAAAGCGGAAGCATGAGGAAGCACACCGTTTTCCCACAACAATATAAACTACAGAAAGACGAAACTAGACAAAGCTAGAGAGTGGGTTAACCCACTAACAGTTTGCTTTATGATCGGTGTAACTGATGGAGGCTTTTTTACACCCGCACAAAAGGAAGCTGTCCAGTGACAGGAATTACAGAGTGGGTGTCATGCTCCTGTTGTTGTGTATGTCAGTATTGCGTGATGGTTACGTAATTCATCTTCTGACGGTCATTAACCATAATTTTTAATATCAACAGCCTTTAGTGTCAATATTTTTCTTTGATGAGGGTTGAAGTGAAGGTTAAGAATCTTTATCCACAGTGCAGTGAAAAAGAAAAAAATCGGGAGCGTTCTTCGTATCTCTTTAAAAATCTTAATGCTTTTTTCCTTTCAACTTTATTTTAGATTTCATTCAACTTCACTTGTAGCTTTAATTTAACTTAAACGTAACAATATTAATGTATCAAATGTTACGAGTTTTATTATAGGAACGGAGGTTGTCTCGAGATAATCAATTTATCACCGTATTTTGTAGATCCATTGCACCATCTAAGATTACTCACCCTTTAATCCCGTTAGTGAATTAGACTCACTACAGTTCAACAGTTTCTCGATCAATGTTTGACTGAAAACTTGTTTTAGATAGTGTAGGAGGCCCCACTATTGCTAAACAAGGCAGGAAACGTTTTATCAGGAAAAATTAATATATTATATATCTCCCTTTAACAGCAATCATCTGTCGATAGAGGAGCGCTAGAAAGGTAGATACTGATTTTTTAAATACTTTTGTTGTTTTAGAATGATGTTTTCTTGTAGTTTTAGAATGATTTTCATCTCAGAACATAACGTTTTTAACGTAAGTCTGTGAAGTTACGCGTACAATCACCAAACAAGGATTTGTCGTAGAAATGGATTATTTACTAACTCCGATCAGCTCTTAAAAGTGGAAAGAATTAGGCTGTTGCAGTTATACTAGTAAAACAACAGGTAATTCCGAGTATAGTTCAGAGCATTGGTACCGAAACCGTACTACCCTTGCTGGAAAACGGATTATGTCTAATCAAGAATCTAACGGACGTGTTCTGTTATACATTTCAGCTAAAGCATAGCCTTGCCGGCCTCGATGTACATAAAAACGTATGTGGGAACATACCGTTTAAAAGCTTGTGACCAAAGATGAGTCAGGGAAGAAAATGATTTCAAACTAAAAAGCTAAGCTCAAGTTTTAAAGTTTTGTTCCAATTCCAAAAATGTCTAATTTAATACTCCAATTGGTCTTCTTTTCTGAGCCTTTCAATGAACGATATTTTAAACTGTCCTTCTCAGTCTCTTATCCTTTCCAAACAATTTTCCACTTAGCTCAGTGTGAAATTTAAATGGCTTGCCAGTTGAATTTAGATTGTCCCCTGGATGATGGAAAGCTATCAGGTTGCTTTGAACAACTTCGAATAAATGTTTCTATAAATAGTTTTCAGAACTAATTTTTGCACTGTAATTCTGGTGCGGCTTTCTTAATAAAAGAATGTATTGATTAAGAAATTGAACAACACGCACAGCTGTAGCTTAATGTATTGGTTCTCATTTCACGAAACACCACTTTTAAACAAGGTGACTTTAAAGTATTCTCGAATTCATAAATGGATGAGAGTGTAAATCCCTGAAGCGTTCCACCGATTCTATTTTATACACATTCGGTAGGTAATTGTCTGCTTGACAAGAAAAAATACACAGTATGACAAGGTAGAGGGGAGTCTACGCTAGACATATCATCTTCCTGCAAAAAGATCCCGGAATGCGTGGCGCGAAAACCGAGTAATAGCTTTGTGGGAACGACTTCCTCGTTCATTGATGTTTGAATTATGCCACACCCACGTACGCCCATTGTTCGCATTCGAAAAGGAACATTTTCCCTATCAGATTAGGCAGTGGGATTACCTCTGGTTAGGTAATCTTAAACGCTACTAATGAATCCAAGTTTAGCCCTCATTGCATGAACAACTCACGCTGTTTTGTTTCCTGACAAGAGGGAAAATTACCCAACAGAAAGCACGTTCGCGGAAGTTACGCAACGATTACGACTAACCACTAAGTTAAGATCTTTTTTCTCTTCTTTAATATAAAGGAAAGAATCGGCAAACAATCATACCTCTAATTGAAAGCCGAATAAATCGATTTCTTCTTTGATAATATGCACAAAGTTCTATTACTCCATTCTGACTGGCTGTTCTCAAACTTCAAAAGCATTTTTTTACACAGGAAAATAAAAAAATAAGTTATACAAGGGGAAAACCAGAATGTATCCCTGGTAAAGGTGAAAGTTAGCCGAGATTGAGAATTTGTGTGAATTTAAATCAAGGCTAATTAGGAGAGGCGATTCTGTATATACACTTACTCTGATAGACGGAAAATATAGCTAGATTACGTAAAGTTAAATGTCAACAAAACTATCAAGATATCCTTTCTGAGTGCCAAACATCAACGTTTCATAACTGCCAAGTGACGTAATTCCCCGTTCTTTTTTTTTTTTTTTTTTTTTTTGGTTTTACACAGACTTGGATTATTTCTAATGAAATTTGATGTGAAGCATCTTATCCATGCCATAAGCCGTTTTCTTTTCTTTTTTCTTTTCATTTCTTTCTGGTGCCAAGGTGAAAGTTTCCGTTATTTTATGTTAGGTGCATGTATTTAATCTATTTTTCCTGTTCCACGCAAAATAATGCGTACCCCGCTGACTCATCTAAATACTCGCTTCCGTCTACAACATTACAATGATTTGTGAACTTTCAATTCTATTGACTGTAGTTTAGACTAAGAACGTTGTTCCATAGTTTTTGAGCTTCAAAGGCTATTTTATTGCCAATGAAGAAGGACTATAAAGTTAACTTCAGCTCACTGAAATAATTTTAAATAACATTGAATCTAACAGGTAACCAAAAAAAGCTACATTTTCTATTCCTTTAGATATGCATCAAAAAGCTCTGGGGCACCCAACGGCAATTTTTGGGAAAATATCTGTTCGGAAGACGATTTGAGATCTAGAATTTTCCGAGCATTTGTTGTAAAATTTCTTGCTTGCCTGCCTCTCCTAGGATTTTCGAACAGCTACAAAATGGTGTAATTACCCATTTTTAACGGATTTTGACCCTGAAAAAGGCCACCTAGAATTTTCGGGAGCCTTTTCTTGGCTGAAATTTTCGAGAAGGTAAGCTTTTATCCCTAGACTTTCAGCTAGGAAATCCGAACAGATGAAAAGTATTTAGGGGATAAAAATATGGCTATATCTACCGTTTGAATAATAAAATACGTTCAACAATGCTATGTTAAGTGGTTTTGAACTATATCCTCGTTGGGCGCCCCTGAAAGCTTTATAGTTACTGTTTATTCAAAACGGCGATTTTAAGTCACTCGGCATATTTTGTTTTGAACTATCTCTGTCGCTAGTTTGAACCCATTTTTTTTCTTCTTTCCTAAAAAAGCTACGAAAATGTAAATATAGACCAAGAATCGGGATCAAATGTATAACAGAATTATTTTTGGAATGTGGTTGGGTTTAATTGTAGTCATTAATTTGTTTTATAAATATATGAATAAATAAATAAATATCAGCAAATGAGATTTGTGAGATTTATCACTTATATGAGATTTACAGGGCTCGACCCTACGTCGTAAATTGTTTTGTCTGGCTAAAAGCTAAAGGCCACCCTACTTTCCCACAGCGAGCTGGGGTCGAACAAGGAGAAAGAGTTTGAATCGCTTGTATTCAACTGCTGTCTATGAAAGATACTTTCGATCGTCATTGCTGCACCGCATGACCGCTGCTTATTCAGAGATACTACCCTCTGTTTTTTTTTTCCTTTTTAAAAGATCGTTCTGCCAGTTTTAGGCAGCAATTTGATTGTTTCTTGCGAAATAATCAGGGGCACCCAACGAGAATATAAGTTCAAAACCACTTAAACATAGCAGTGTTTAACGTATTTTAGTATTTAAAGGTAGATTTAGGTATATTTTTATCCCCTAAAAATTTTTCATCTGTTCCGATTTCCTAGCTGAAAGTCTAGTGATCCGAAAATTATAGGAATCAAAACTTATCTTTTCGAAAATTTCAGCCGGAGAAAAGGTTCCCGAAAATTCTAGGTGATCTTTTTAGGGTAAAAATCCGTTAAAAATGGGCAATTATACCATTTTTTAGATGTTCGAAAATCCTAGGAGAGGCAGGCAAGCAAGAAATTTTACAACCAGTGTTCCGAAAATTCTAGATCTCAAATCATCTTCCGAACAGATATTTTCCGAAAATTGACGTCGGGTGCCCCTGAAAAATAAAGAGAGTGAGTTAAGTGTAGACGTTCGTTATTTATAAAAATAAAGAGTGAAACGATATTGGAAGTTTGAACTTTGTCCATAACTGTCACTTGGTTATATGGCAGTCACCTAACGAAGGTTCCGTTGAAATGCATTACGACACATTTTAAAAACCTTTTCGACTCAAAACTGAAGTAAGCAAACCGAAGAAAGCGTGATGGTATAAAAGCTAAGGCTCTCACCTGCGTAATTTATGCTAAATGAAATCTGTTTAGACTACAAGTTTCTCTTTCCAATTAAATACAAGTCATGCAAGACTCTTACGGAAAACACCAGCTGACTTTGTGCACGTGTTAGCTAATGCTGATCTGGACGGGGCACGTGTTAAAGGCTACCTTGCAAGAAGAAGGCGTTGCATCATAAAACCAAAATTGCCAGAAGGCTGTTTCGCTAAATAAAGTGAGCATTTATAATAATGTAGTGTGGGGGTTGCAGGTTAGAAAAGACCAAACATCCGTAAAACAGGGTTTAAAAGACACCTTGGCAATGAAAACAACTATACGTAATTGAATTGTCTCAAATTGTCTCAGCAGTTTCATGCACCTCTCAGATCGCCTCGATTTACCAGCATTTTTATGGATACTTAACAGAACAGATTGAAGCAAATCACAGCCCGGTACGTATTATTTAAAAGCAGCAGTCCATCCCTTCCTGTTGTTCCTCCCCAAAATTGTTTTCAGTGATAAAAAACTATGGAAGCGACTCAAAGGTGGAATACAGTCTTCATTGTCATCGAGTTTGTGGTTTGCCTCTTGGGATTTTTGTTCAACGGGCTAGTAATTCTGACTATTTGCAAGAATATCTCTCGCCTCTCTCCGTCGAGTTATCTTATCCTTAGCATTGCGGTGAGCGATTTTCTTTCCTGTTCGATACCTTTTCCATTCTCTATCGCTGCATACTTCCAGGGGGGCTGGCCATACGCTTCTACTGGATGCAAGGCTCACGCCTTCATGGTATTTCTCTTTGCACTTGTCTCCATAACTCACTTGGCTATTATTTCAGCTGGAAAGTACTTGACAATCAGCCACTCTCTGACTAGACAGTTTTATTTTGGCAAGAATCAAATACTTCTAGCCATATTGGCTGCTTGGATTTACTCGTTTGGCTTCAGTCTGGCACCTCTGGTAGGATGGTCAAGATACGGCCTTGAAGGAACCAATGCAACTTGTTCGATAGTGTGGGATTCGACACTACCGGGCGATAAAGCATATTTTGGAGTGATTTTTGTTGCTTGTTACTTTTTGCCTATGGGTGTTATCACGTTTTGCTATTATAAGATTCACATGATTTCCAAAAACATTGTAGGGAACGCAAGGGCCCAAATGGGAGGACATATTGCAATGACGATGACACAAGCTCTTGCAAAAAGGCATCGAAAATCAGCTTTGTATTTTTTAATCGTCATAGTGGCTTATATGCTATCGTGGACTCCATACGCTATAGTGTCACTGCTCGTTGTTGTAGTCGGAAAAAGGGTAAATGCTGTTGCAACCAGTGCGTGCAGCGTGTTTGCGAAAACTTCTTTTATGATGAACCCAATACTGTATGCGATCTTCTTCCAGAAGTTTAGGCGACAGATGGTTATTGTAAATCCCATAACTATTCGACAAAATCAAGAGGTAAGACCCGTCAATGCTCCCTCTCATTCACAACCATTTGCACTTTAACAACGGAATCAACATGTAAATAGGTCGTCAACTACAGTTTCAGTCCTGATGACTTACAGCTTCATTCGAGAAAGAATATTCTAGCCTTCTCCCAACATTGCCCTGCTTGATTGTAAAATTGTGTACTTTTTTGTGGCCCTGGACGATAATAACTTCCTATTCTGGCACCAGTTTTTTCAAAAGGTAGATAGAGCTATCCGCTGGATAAATCCCTAATGAGGGAGATAACGTTACCGCTGCATAGTGATTTATTTCGTGAATAAACTCTTTATTTTTCTTGAACAATATATATATTTCGTAAGAATATTGAGGCTGAAATTTGCGAAATTTCACGAACATTTTAGGAATAAACCCAAGGCTGAGAATTTGAAGAGGACTCAATTTTGTGTTGGAAAATCTGTAAATATGGTACAATTTATGTTTTTAACTTAACTGTCACACTAAAGGACAAGAACATTTAGTAACTGAGACCCTAAAATATTCTAAAGCGGAAATGCCATAAGCTATAATTTATAATTATTATAATTATTATTTCAACCTGAAATCGACAGAAAAATATAAATTTTCTGCTTGGGCCAGAAATACAACATTTCTATATAAAAAAGGGGTGTAACGCTATCCAGCTTTTCGACACCTGGACAGGTGACGGGGTAAATAGAAAGGAACTTTAGTCTTATGTAGATCGCACTGACCAATACATACATACAAACAGTCCTTTATTATCTTTTTCTTAAACAAGGCTTTTCAAAGATAATTAAAAAATATATGATTATAAACAAAAAGGAGTACAGTAAATATATAAAAAGTGGATTGGTAAAATTATCTAAGAGCTAAAACTTAATCACTATCAGATACGATCATACATAAAATACAAGAAACATCGATTATAAAGTTCTATGCCGAGCAAAGTAGCTTACTTTTGAGCTTTCGTTTGAAGCTTAAAACATCTTTGCTTAGTTTGAATTCATTGTTCGATGAGTTCCATATCTTCGCTGTTCTGTAATAGGAGCTTCTTTGGCCACTCGCAGATTTAATAAGGGAATATGTAGCGATTGTGAGTTTCTATTTTCTCGCCCACAGACGTTAAATCGTTAGTAAATTTAGACGTAAGATAATCCGGTGCTGAGCCCGTTATGCATTTAAATGCCAGAGTGGCACTTCTAAGATAGATTAATTTTTCTACTGCGAGCCAATTTGTTTTTTTTTAATAAAAGAGAAATATGATCATACTTTTTGGCCCCGCTGATAATACGGCATGCATAATTTTGACAAGATTGTAACTTACGCATTATACTGTTAGAAGTATTTGCCCACATGTTCGAACAACATAATAGTTTACTAAATTCTAATGTATATATTATATTAACTAAAATTTTCTTATTAAATGCATGTTTAACACGATTTATTTGAGCTAGTAGAGAAAAGCATGATGAAACGGTCTTAGTAATGTAATCATCGTAAGTTTGGTTGTTGTCCAATCTTACGCCCAAATCTTTCCTACTAGGCACTGGTAGCAGTATTTGTATAAGTACCTTACGAAACAATGTCAGAAATAAAGATAACAAGAAATTAAGGAATTAAGATGTGCGCAGTGACCAAAGTAGCTAATCCTTCCGGGTTGGTCACTGCCATGTTAAGCTAGCTGGCAGAGACAATAAGCGTAGTGGAAAAATAATTATGCAAAGAGAAAAGGTGCTAAAGTAACAATACTGTTCGTGTATTAAGCAAAAAACAAAAAGAAAACAAAGAACAAAACAACAGTAACAACAACAAGAAAAAAAAACAGCAAAACATGGCTAAGAGTAGTTTAAGTATTAAAAGTAAATTAAATCAATATATTCTAAGAAACAGATTGCGAATTAAGCAGATATAACTTGAAGTGTTTAGAGAAGCGGTAGTAACATAGTTTTCAAGCTGCAGTGGAATAGTCTCCCATATTTTCGACGCAATGAAAGAAAAAGTGGAAGCTCCATAGTTAACATTTATTTGTGGCCTATGGAAGTTAAAGGCTTAAATCGTCTTCATGACAGCTCTGAAATGGTACACAACAACTAACTGTGCACTGGATGTAAGAGCATGGAAAACAAAAACGTCTGAATAGAAAATCATCCTTTCTATGACTGGCTTTCCCAACTTACATCAGTGCAAGCTGAGGAAGATGTTGTGACACCAAGTGTTCAAAGTTTGTTTGTTTCTGGTCCGGCCAATCTGTTCCTGCAAGCCAAAGCGACCCAAGACTGTGCAGCTTGGTGATGTAATCTACCAGATCTTGCTCCGAGCATCTAAGTGCATTGCCTCTCAGACTTAATTCACGTACACTAGGAAGGAACGTATAGCTCTTCATCAGATCATTTAAGTCCCGTTCATCAAGATTTAAAAATTCAAGGATTACCCATTCCAAGTTGGGGAAGAAACATAGTTGTTTGGTGAGTGAAGAAAGACTACCCCAGAAATTGAATCGACATAAATGAAGTTCCTTCAAAACAGAAGTTTCGTGAAATCCACCAAAAAGTGTTTCCACGTCAGCGACCTCCGAGTTGGCTGGAGATTCTCTGCCTGTTAGTTGCAGAACTCGCAGGGATGAAAGTTTAGGCAGTAGCTTTCCTAGCGCCGCAGCGACATCTCGTGTCATACCAATACCTTTCAGCCTTAAACTTGCAATCCTCTTGGATGGAATTTTAGAGACAAGGGTGATCACACTCGTCTCGGAACAGTCTGACAAATCAAGAGCAAGAGATGTGGTGTTTTCAAATTCTGCAAGCAAATCAGCGAATTGTAACGCTCCAGCGGATTCCAAGTAACACGTCAGAGCAGAAGACAGGCTGTACACCGCCGATAAGGAGATTTTGTTGAAGGTACCTATTTTTAATTCGCACTTACGAGGCTTTGGTAGTTGTTTCAAGATGTCACATGATTGGACGCCAGTTGCACAAAGTTCGATCTGCCGTAAACGTTTACAGTTTTCAAACAATGCCCTTGCAAGTAATGCACTGTTGTTTGGAATAAAAGTTATAGTTCTTACGAATTTCAAAATCAGCACCGGATCATGATCATATCTCTGAGCTTCTGCAAAAAACAAACTGGCATGGATAGAACAGGTCAGGTGCAAATCTATGATGTAAATAAAGACTTTGCCGTTAAGGAAACAAAGACAAACGTTGAATCCACAGCTTCCTCGCAGCTGTTGATGACATTCAGCACCGACAGTTAAAAATTTACTCACAAATGTGTCAAGCCTTCTCAACTCAAAACCTTTTTTGTCAAGAAATTTAAGCCACTCTTGAAGCGACTTGACTTGCGAGATGGAGCCTTTTCCCATCATCTGGGGCTCTCGAAACAGAAAGCAGCAATTCAAATTGTTTATCATTGTGGGAAAGCGAAATTGTGTTTTTGTAACCAGGAATGTGCCACCAACAGAATTACAAGTATGCGGTGCAATTTTATCCTTGGATTTAACTTCTTGAAAGCAATGGAAGACCAAGTCGTTGAACCTCCGATGTCGCTCAGTGACGTCACAAAAGGGAACATCTGTGTCCCTCTCTTCGTCTTGTTCTGTGTTGACTTGCAGTGAATAGTCGGATCGTCTAACGAAAGTCAAATGCTTAAACACCGCCTCTGCTCCTTCGTCAGTTAAACCACAAATGAACTGGAACACATTCTGGAAGGCCTCGCATTTCTCTAAGGTATGAACAACTTTAAGTGGACCAAGATTACCTTCAGGAATACAGCATTCGTAATTGATGTACCGAGCAGCCAAAAATTGCTGAATGCTTCTGTCAATGAAGGAAACCATTGTGGCTGGGCGTACGCTACATGTATACTCTGCCACTTGAATTAAGCCAATAATGTAGTTGTTTTGATAACGAATACCATCCAAAAATGTCTGCGGAGTACACCCGACCACATGATCATCACTAAGAAGACATTGAAAGGCCACATCTCCGATTTTAGCAAGATCCTCTTCAAAGTGCTGCACTTCGTGGAAATAGTGAGAGTGTTTTCTTTGGATGTAATCTAAAAGAAACTGTACGATCGCAAGAAATAGTTCAGTTTTATATTCAATGAAGCTTTTCAATTTTCCCTCTTTCCACGATGTACTGAAAAAGAGTAGAAGTAACGGAACTTTCGCCAGGTCAAGCAGGTCATGCTCCAACAAATGTTTCAAAAGATCACGTCCGTCTTTGTTGTTCCCAAATAATTTCCTAACAGCGGTTTTTATGTTTTCTATGGAAAATCCTTTGATCTCAACAAGCATGACTTTTGCCTTTGATTCCAAAAGCTCGTCAGCTTTGTGACTTTGAGCCGTTATCAACACACAGCAATCTCTCAGTTTTTTCCCGATAAAAATCTTGTAGACATCGGAATCGCGCGAGTCGCGTCCACAAAGATACTCTTCATAGCCATCAAATACCAACAAAACTTTCTCCTGATTCTTAGTTATGTAACTCAGAAGGCCTTCTGCCAAGAACATGTTTTCCTCTGCAAAAATATTAGACCTACGTATGACATCTCGAAGATCGAGGCATTCTCCAACTTCCCTGAGGTCAATAGCAAGGACTACCTCAAATTTCTTCAGGGCAGCTGAGTTTTCCTCATCAATCTTCTCAAGTTCTGCCCAGTCTACAGCCAGCTTCTTAACGAAGGTGCTTTTACCGATTCCCATATGCCCTTGCACAAGTATTCTTTTTGGTGTCACACCGTTCATGTCTGCTTTGAACAAGTCACTGTAATGCTTCAGTTCAGTCAGCGATGTACCAGATGAAGTTTCTTCCCTTTTTACCCACGAGAGTCGAGTGTACATCTGGTGAATGTCAACAGTAGCTTTCGTGGACCACCCAGAGATTGGCACCGTGGCCGTCTCCTTGTAATACTTGGCGAGGTTACTTCGGCAAAGTTTCTGATCAAAAGCTTGCTCAGGAGATCGTTCTTATTTCAAACAAAATAGTAAAAAATGATGAGCTATTAATAATAGTATTGCAATAACCAGCTTAAACAAAATCAGAAAGAAGCTAAAAAATGAGCGTGTGTGGAAAAGACTGGAAAAGAGAAAAGGAATTGTTCCCACGCACTCAAAAGAAGAAAAGAATCCATCAGGATGTGAGGCGTTCAAATTATGCCTATAACCCCTTAATCGGGCCTTTTTGGTTCCCGTGAATGGGGTGGGGGTCTTTGTGGCCCCCTACCCTTCTACATTTTCAAAACCGCGCATGGCGTATTCATCTTTTCCAACATCTCGGTTTAACTTGATTGACATAATGGCGTTATTCGATGTCATCGTGACGTCATATTGTTTATTGTATTGGCAGAATCCAAATTCCCCTTAAAACAGTCAGGGCTAGCAGGCTTTATCTCTTCCTGCAAGCTGCATTTCCTATCGTTATGAAAATCACACATCAACTCTTTGGCTCAAAACTATGAGTACGGCTTTCATAAATTAATACGTTGCATTTGCAAAAACTTTTGAACAAATGCGCACGCTTCCAACTAGAATCTTAAAATTAATATGAGTGCATTTTTGCATTCTAAATCCATTTGTTGAAAGAACTGATCGATCTAAGTCATCTATGCAATTTTAAGCTATGTGACGAAATAGAGCAAAAAAAAACTTGCTGCTTAGCAAGAACTCTAAGTGGCCACCATAATGACATTATTTCTACGAAATGTAGAGTTTTTAAAACATACTCTATGTATCATGGAGAGTTTTTTGTATACCGCACTGAAGTTTCCGGACGTGGCCATTTTGCTTTAGATATATAAAATGTTTGGAGATAAAGACCTATTTGAATATGGACTTTAATTTAAAAAAAAAAAACATATATATAATTATTCAGAGTTATATTGCCTTTACGTAACTTCATCATCAAATAGGCGAATCTTTGCTGACGTCATTATTTACAGTTTTTCTAATTAGCATATGACTAAACTCATAGAAGCCGTAGCCTTTATATATGAAGTAAATTCAAAAGTTGAAAAAGCTGATTAACTTGAGCAATTTGCGCAATTTTCAGCCCTTTGCAAGCCATATCGAAGCAAACTGCGAAATTGATGGGTGGCAAAAAAGTTAATGAGCCATACATTCTGCGTAAACATTTTGAGGTTTTAAAAGAGAATTTCTCCGAAACCATTTGGTTTATCGAGCTCAAAGTTTCAGGCATAATTGAAACTGTTATGTTCTTTCAAAGTGAGAGGTTTTTATTTTATAGTCTTCATCAGATAATGATGAGCATATGTAAACAAGGCAAAAAATGTAAACGAAGATTCGCCTATATAATCATAAGCATGCGAAAAGTCAAACAAGAACTGTGACCATGGATTCGCCTATCAGCTAACCTGGATCCAGACTATGAATCCCTTCCAACTTCTCCACTCTCTTGTCTGTCCTGGCAAGGCCCTCCTCAACTGCATCAAGTCGAATCAACGTTCCATCCAAGCATGTAAGTTTTTCCAGTATTTTTTCGGTCTCTTTTCTCTGCAACCTCTGTTCTTCGCCCTCAAACGCACTCAATTTTGACTTTATGTTGGCCTGGTCCTCAATGAGTCTTTGCAATTCTTGTTGAACCAAAGTAATAAGGTCTTTGTCCACGGCATGTCCCATACACAATCTGCAACCTGCATGGTTTAAATTTGAAAACAATACTGCAACTGTCTACAATTCGCCACTTTAGAAACGATAAGGAAACTGGCCGAGTTATTTAGGGGCACCCAACGAGAATGTAGTTCAAAACCACGTAAACGTGGCATTTTTGAACGTATTGTAGTATTTAAACGGTACATAAAGGCATATTTTTATCCCCTAAAAATTTTTCATCTGTTCGGATTTCCTAGCTGAGAGTCTAGTGATCCGAAAATTAGAGGGATCAAACCTTACCTTTTCGAAAATTTCAGCCAGAAATAAGGCTTCCGAAAATTCTAGGTGACCTCATTAGGGTAAAAATCCGTTGAAAATGGGCAATTATACCATTTTTTAGATGTTCGAAAATCCTAGGAGAGGCAGGCAAGCAACAAATCTTACAAAAAATGATCCGGAAATTCTAGATCTCAAATCGTCTTCCGAACAGATAATTTTCCGAAAATTGTCGTTGGGTGCCCCTGATTTTTTACAAAGACTTTGGTTTTGTTACTCAGGACCCACCGGTCAGCTATTGGCCACTTCTGTTCCTGTCCCCAGTAACAGTCCTACAAGCCTTAAGCCAGTGAACTCGATCCCGTTTCCTTAGAGTTTCTTAAGTGGTGAATTGTAGGTTGAATAGGCTAAATATAACAAAACTCATAAAAATACAATCACTGCGTCAATAACGATTTCCCAAATACATTCGTTGCGGCTCAGAAGCGATCGATAACTCTTGCAGGCAGTCCAGTGTTTTAAATTATTAAAGCCATGGCAAAAGGTAATTATTCGTCTCTGATATTAGAAAGAAAACAAGTTAAAAAGAATCAAATCTCGTATTCCTAAATTTCTAATTCTTTTAAAAAAAAATCCTAAAAAAAAAAGATTAATGTTTTCGATCTGTAAATCTGAGTCAACAAAGTCTAGCTGTCGTCTTCTTGATCTTGAGCCTCTCAAGCACAGTATCACAGAGCGTACGATAATAATAATAATAAAAATAATAATAATAATAATAATAATAATAATAAGCACTTTATTTTATACTCCAAAAAATAAATCAGCTGGGTTTAAAAAAACAGCTGGTATATAAGCATATGTGCAGTAATAAAATGTTTCAAGATTGAAAAAAACAATAATAGTACTAAAAAAGCGGAAGGACTAATATTTACAATAAAAAGGGTGTTAAAAAAATAAAATGAATTAATCTATAATCTACATTCATGCTGTGTTTTGTCTTATTCTTGCAAACACTTAAAGTACGTCTTTCCTTTAAAAGATCCTAAAGTCAGGCGATCAGCCCGTAATTCATTGGGTAACTCGTTCCAAGCCTTTTCTCCTGTGATTTAAAACGTAGACTGGCCAATAGTGGATTTTTTAGGCAGATGAATTTCTCGTCTGTCTCTTAAGGTCCTACCACGGCATTCGGATCTCAAGTTCATATACTTATGAAGTTGCGTAGAACAACGCAGATTTTTTCAACACTAGCTACAGACGCATAAATCTTCGCCTACTAGATAGCGTTAGTTTGTCTCTCATCGTTTGTGAACAAGTCAGGTAGTTTACCCTTAAGATAGTTCTCATAGCTTTGTTTTGTATTCGGTCCAAAAAAATCAGAGTTCTCCTTGGAACAGGATCCCCATATCATACAAACCGTAATCTAAAATAGGTAAAATTGTCGCTTTATAAATCGTCAAAAGGGCAGTTGGATCCAGAGAGGACGAAATCCTATTCATCAGGTTAAGTTTAGGGTAGACTCTGGAGGCGACATAAGATACGTGACTGTTGCAAGATAACGATTTGTCTGACTATCACACCGTGGTACTTAAAGGATCTCTTCTGCTATTGTTGGTTTTCACATGACGTCACTAAAATTCAAAATACGAAACTATTGATCCCACTGAGATTTTACTTTCATGATGTATTAGAGCAGCTGAAAACTATAATTTTCATACAAATTTTCGCTTCAAAAGGGTTCTTGGTTTTGTGATAGAGTATGCTTGAATTTCTAAGCTATTGCGTGAGGTGGCATTTACATGACGGCCGAGAGGGCTGTCATGTAGGTTAAAAAAGTGACATATTCCGTGAAATTTTGCTATATAAACAGTTAATGCATTAGAAAAAGTATTACTTTAATGTTTATGAGTATAAATTCACGCTTTTGTAGCAAAATTCGATTACAGATGTTTCTGTTGGTTTCCGTCCGCCATCTTGGAGCTCACCCAGGTGGGCACCAGCATGGCGTCTCCATACAAATCTCTATAAATTAGGGTAAATCATTTCTTCGGATATCTCGTACACAGAATATTCTTGTGGCCTGAATCTTGGCGAGGGTCTTTGTATATTTACCTCCTTTCATTTCCCAGATTCCGGACTTAATCTATTGAACGGTTTTGATTTTATTTTGATCTATTTTGAATGGCGTGACACTGAAAACCAGCGATAGAATCGAATCACCGTAAGATATACGAACCCCCCGGTGGGGGGTACTGTAAGAATTTCTTGGTGGGGATTTGTCGCTGGAACCCTAGATATTAAGTTGGACCCAGGACCGACCCTTGCGGGACTCCAAACGGGAGATGTCGAAGTTCAGAAGCGGAGTCTCTACATACAACAAATTGAGATCTGCCAAACGGGTAGCTATTAAGCCATTGTAGAGCGTTCCCTTTAATACCAAAGGAATATGTTTCTTCCACCAGGACAATGAACTAAACTAAGCACACTGCCATGTACACTAAAACAAAAAAATTCTGCCGCGAATTCATAAAGTTTCAATTCAGCTTCCACCATTTTCACTGGTGAAAACTGTCTCTTCAGAGATCAATAAAGCGTTTGTAACTTAAACCTGGCTTTGTATTTTCCCCAAAGCCAATCGACCTCACCCCAATTGAATATCTGAAGAATACCTTTTGTTTTCCAGTCAGTGAGATCATCCAATGTATTCTTTTCATCTGCTGCAGCAAGGCCCAGAAGCCTCACCAACGTCTCCATCTTGGAAAAACAATCAATAAAGAAGGCTTCAGTCCAATCGGTTCGGTTAAAATGACCCCACTTATTTCTTACGTTGTCCCTGACGTCATCAGCTGAATTCTTGATAGCAATTGTGAAGGGTGCCGGTACAACTTGTGTACATCCTAATAAGCGAAGGGAAGCACTCATATCCAGTGAATAATCAAAATCCCAAAAATGGGCAAGATAACGAGGCAGAAAAATCTTGGCCAAGTCTACTGCGCTGTTGACGTTGTAATTGAACGCTTTCTTGTCCAGATGCACATGATTGTTATTTATATTTTGGAACGACAGCTTCTTGAGCATGGAATCATTTTTTACTTGACTATAACTCAATGTCTTAAGAGTACAAGGTGGGGTCAGACTTCCACAATGAGTATCCAGTTTCGCTACGGTAGCCTCCATTCCCTTCTTGACAGGTTCCAGAAGTACTGGAGAAAGGACTTTGTTCATGGCAATTCCTACAACAATCCATCTTCTCTCCTCATCAGAGACCATCATCTTGGTGCGAAAAATGGACTTGGAGTTATACCTAGAGAAAAGTTACATACTCAGTTTTTTCACGTCGTTAACTTGACTGATATTGCAATTCGGATGTAATTATGATGATTCAGTTACGATTAAGATGGAGCTTAAATGCCAATAGAACTCTTTTGCTTGTTAGCATTGTTTTCGCAATGAATCCTTGGGGGCATTTGCCCCTTTTTAATAAATGAAGCGCATAAATGCACGGAAAAAGACGAAACTTGAATGAAACCTTTCTCTAAAGAATTATCACAAGACGAGCATACAACCCTGTAGGTCTATAGAGCGTTTTCACTCCCGTGACATCTTTGAAGACTAATTGGAACAAAAGAAAGTGTTTACTAAAGATAAGAGTTCAACTCCCACAGCATTTGCTTGGGACACCAATATGGCCACCGTGACGTCACCTGAAAACACTCCAACACAACAAGTTCAACCTGGACTGTAAAAGGCTTCGGTGAGTAAGTCGAAGTTAGAGATGAGGTTTGTCACGCTATTATGGTGAGTGGCACAAAAAGGGGAAATTATTTAGAGACACACCCTGCTGAATTGTACGGGTCAAAAACAGGGAGATCTTCTACCTCTGTGATAAAAAGGAAACGGCATCCATGACAAATAAACTTTGCGAGGGTTAAAGCATTAAAAGAAGAAAATATCGAATCAAATTCAGCCTACAAGCAGGATTCTACTTTGGAAGATGTATAATAGCGAAGCCAGGGGTGGATAGGTGGGATGAGCACAGCACGTAAAATATAATAACCAACTAAAACGGAACTGTGATGGGTGGTTTGAAGAAAAAAAAAAAACAATGAAAACAATGAAAAAAATAACACTGGTGTAATGCATATGGTGTTCCTAGAAAATTCAACACAATTAGCTTCTTCAAATTACCATTAGGGAGATTTAGACAACGTACCACAACGTGAAAACAGTGATTTAGGGGCGCGAAGATGTAAGAACGAAAGAATTGGCCTATGGCAGATCAGATCAGCAAATAGAACACAAGTCGCGTTCAGTCCTTTCCGTGTGTTTTCCTGTCCTCACGTCTTGCCCAATTTTCTTGGAATTTAGTTGAACTTCAGTCAAGTTCGAGAGACAGTAAAGAATAATAATAATAAAAGTCTTAAGAAGTAAAGCTAAAAATGTACCAGACAGATTCTCTTAAAAACAAGTAATCGTACTCTGACAACTAACATTTTAAAAAGCAATAATAACGACAATAATCATCCAGGCTTATAATTGCATTCACAGAAATATCACCACATTAAAGTTGCCCACTGTAATTGCTTTTCATTATTGTTCCTTTATGGACAGTGGCGTGTGCAGAGAAAATTACTGGCAACTCAATGTGGCCGAACGTAGGATCACATACATTCTAGCCACTTTGAGATCAAGGCAATTGACACTGAGCAGGTAATATAATCACCGGTGTTCGACGATGATTGTCGGTTTTGTTTCATGCAAATTCGCACTACAGAATACTGGAACCACAGCTGAAGAACTCTTTGGACTTTCTACCTTTTATAGTGCCAAATAAAAAACTCATATGCCCCAGCTAAGAATTGCACTGAAAGACATGCCTGTAGAAGCTATATACGCCGTATGAGAGTACCCAAAAAGAGCCGGTAAACGACAACACCGGGACAATACCAAACAATCGAAGGCTAAGAATTGTAAAAAGACAGGAAAGAAATCACTGATAGAGCATTTAGCTGTTTTGCTTTAGACAGATCCGTTAGCTATACGGTACGAAATGTATGACTACACCACAACTCATTGGTAAGGCTCGAGACCTCATGTGTAGAACGCACGTTGCAAAGAACTCTGACAGGGCGGAAGTGATTCGATTCGTTCAGAGCTCAAATCTTCTTAAAAACGAAAGAAGAACCTGCACTATGCGCTTTTCGTCTAGCACTGACTGATATTAAGATTCTACATAAAGTATTACCATGACTTGAATTTAAGCCTACAAACTAGGCTTTTCCACAGTAAACGTAGATTACACTACTCCAAATCAGATTGAAGACGAAACCAATCTTTCAAGGAATTGAGTCTAACACAGATTGTAATGACCAACACCATATTTGGCAGGGGAGCGCCTGATGTGTCTTTCTCGGAAAATCTAGTCCTGGAGGGAGGATTGGGCAGTTTTTCCATGATTCCGTGCGGCAATTGTTCGTGGTTTTTCACGTGTAACGTGGCTATTTTGGATGTATTGTGAGCGTCAGAGATAATTTTTCCGCCTTTCAAAAGAGCTTGTTTGACGGCTTGAAGTGAGTTTGTTTTGTTTCATTCCTTTTGATTGGCACTAAATTGATATACTGAGCGATTTTTCAACACTATTAATGTATAATTAAATGCCTAATTTTCACGACAAAGAGGGCTGAATTTTAATGATGACTTTATTATCTTCACTGTCACGGTCGGGTACTTCAAGAAATGTGTTACTTTCCTGCTACAATAGTCGAGGTTCTGTGAAACCATTATAATTTTTGTAGAGAGCAAGGGATATAATTTCAAGGAAAGCCAATGTACCTCGTTGTACCTCAACTCAAAAATCGGCAAATCGAAATTGAACATGGCTGTTTTTTTACCCATTGGCAGACGACCGCGTAACTTCTCGAAGTTGTCACTTAAATAATAAAAAAACAAAACAAAAAAACCCCAAAAAACAAGATACTTCGGCGCAGACCACAGAAATTAAGCTCAAAGAATTATCTGTTTATTCCAAGCGTCGCGACTTTATAATCTCGTCGCGCGCGAAGCTCGCGCGCAGTCTACTCACCACGCGTGGTCTTACCAAGCTTCAAAATTCGATGCCCCATAAACCTATATGAATATATGCTTGGTGTCCGCTAATGACGTTATCTAACGTTTAGTGATGGAGCATTTTTCGGTTCCAGGCAACATAGACTTTGCCGCCGATGACCAGAGCGCATTTTTATGTATTATCCATAAAGGCTGTTTTATTCATCGTCTGTGAAACAATGTTTACCATCGGTGAATCACGAACAATTTCCCATTCAAATGACACAGAACTGCAAGCACAGCAATGACATGTTTAAGGAAGCGTTACATTTGTAAACAAAATCCTTGCTGAACAAAATTTTCGTTTACAGTTTTCATTACATTTACTTCCACAAAACTATCCCAAGTAAAATATATTATCAATGTATAGCAGCCTTATACATAAACACAGCTGTGTCTTTTAAAGGGGTGATGAATGGTCCATTAAAATTTTTAACTGCTAGCAAAATTTTACCTGTGCTCGATTTGTTCGCAAAATTTAAACGAGTGCTCGCTTGCCCGTGCTCTCCAAATTTTTGCAGTTGCTCGCATGCTCGCTTTCTTGTCAGTATTGCTCGAAATTTTGTAAATCCTTCTTTGGGTTAAAGTAAATGTAATTCTGTATGGTGCTTAATTCCTATAAATATTCTTGGGTTGCACATGACGTCACCAAAAATCAAACTAAGAAACTATCGATTCTTCTGAGTTTCTACTTTCATGAGGTATTACAGTACCTAAACACCTTTACATAAACAAATTTTTGGCTCGAAAGGGTTCTTCGTTTTGCGAGAGAGGACGCTTGAATTTCCAGGCTTTTGCGTGACTCGGCATTTAGCTGGCGGCCGGGAAAGCTCTTATGTGGGTTAAAAACATTACCGATTTTGGGAGATTTTATTGCGATCTAAACATTCCTTGTCTCAGAATAAATATTACTGTAATCTTTATGAGTTCCTCAAGCGAAGAATTCACGCAGTAGTAGGAAAACTCGAAAACAGATGTTTCTGTGGGTATCCGGCGGCCATAATGGTGTTCCTGAAAGGGACACCAACATGGCGTTTCCATACAAAGCTTTATAAATTTAGGTAAACCGTTTTTCTTAATATCTCGCATTTGAAATAATTCACAGACCTGATTCTTGGCAAGGGTTTCTGTATATTTATCTTTTTTCATTTCCCAGATTCTAGTCCTTCTGTATTGAATGGTTTGCATTTTTATTTTTCATTGTGTGACAGCGCAAGCCGAGAATATGGCTATCAAGTTCAGTGAAAATGCACGCGATAAATGACAACGATAAATAATAAATTAGCTAACAACAACTAGCTATATATGGTTAAAAAAAGAGAAGATATTATTACCTTTAATTGTTCTGAGTTTCTCTACCCCTCTACTCACTTGGCCTTAATTAGGCCGTGTTTTCAATAAAAAACGGTTTGGAAGCTCTAGGATTCTTCCAGAAGAGGTTGTTCTTGTTTGAGTTAAAATGCTCGATATGAGAAGTGTCATCAAGGCTTTCACATTTACCTTCCTCACGTAATCTCAATGTACAGCTTTTATTTCACGTTGAATTCGTTTTAAAGCCTCCAGGGTCATTCTTGTTCCCGAAATAGTCTTGGAGGATGGAACACCGCGAGGGCCTTCTACAGCCGTTATGCCACCGTTTTAAAAACCCCGTTTTAAAATATTGTCTGTTTTACTTTAAAGAAAAGGATTTCCATATGGACTGCTGCAAGCGGAAAAACTAAGAAGTGCTCGCTGCTTGCGAGTTGTACTCTCTAAGCTGCTCGCTGCTCGCAAAGCAAATTTTTTATCTCTGCTCGTGCTCGCAAAAAAATCACAGTGCTCGCATGCTCGCGAATGCTCGCAAAGACCATTCGTCACCCCTTCTTAAGTCAAGCATAAAAAAAATTATTATTTCTGGCCTCCTATTTTCGATCCTATTTTTATATTCCAAAAGAACATCTGGATTTCAGAACTCCTCACAATATTACTGTGTGACATGTGTTGCCATGCCAGGAAAATTAATCATTCCCCGTAAGTCAAGTTATGGAATTTTAGTATAAGTCAGGGAAAATGTAACTCTTTCAAAGAAGCCAGAGGGAGGTGACATATTCCTGCATATTCACCGAAGTTAAACATGTTCCATTGGCAGAATATTGTATCAAGAAATCAAACGACAAGCAGATCCATCCATTCGGCACTTTACATTCACGATAAATTCAAGACAGGATGGCTGTGATGGGAGTTTGAGCATTTATTTTGTGTACCAGACACAGCTGACATAAAGCTTAAGATCCAAAAACCATGAAAACATACCAAGCAGATTTTCCCTGAACAGAAAACAAAGAAGTCTTTCGTTTTACCATAGTTATTAGAGGAGACTGGTTATGAAAAGCGGCAAACATCAATGATAAAAACAACACTGCTGCCGTTTATGTTGGAAGTACCGTGAAAGTGCACAATCCTTTGTTTTCTGTTGGCAAATTGTTACGGAATAAATCAATGCAACGTTTTTATTGGTCAATACAATCAAAATGACAGGAATTCTTTTGAACGTTGTGCACTTTCAGGTCCACAAAAACATATAACAAAGGAGTCTGACGGGTTTCATAACCATTCCACTCAATTAACTATGGTTTTACATCATCTGTGTCCAGAACACGAACTTTTGACTGGAACTTGGAATCCATTAATATCTGGACAAATTGTGAATTCATTTGGTCCGGGAAAGTGTACATTTGACCGTCAGTCTAGCAATTTAAGAAACTATGCCTCTGGCAACCATGTCTCAACAAGTTCATGCATGTTGAGAATTGAAATACTGATCACCTTTAACGTTACTTGTATGTGGACATTTCATACAAATTCACTCTTGCATGAGTATTTGTTTCTCATGCATGTACACAAATATAAACTATAAACATCTTGATTCATAAACGATTTGGTATTTTTACAGTGATAATTCAGTGCTAATGAGAGTACCCCATATTCAATAATCATGAGTCATGATCACTTTCATAGTTCTCCTCAACTGCATCCTTAATAACATAGTCTGACACCATGTTTTAGTGTAAGTGATTATGTTTACACCTTTGCTGTTACACAAAATTAGCTGTCAAGTGTGATAACGTACTACAACAAGTGCAAACACTCTCTTGCTGTAATTCACCTAACAATAATTTTTTTCTCTAATTACCAGCATTTACTTGTCATTTCCACTGTAGCATTATTGTTGAGGCCAATCCTCAACAAGAGAACATTTTTTTTGTTTTCCTAGTCCGTTCCATTCCATTTTTGTAATTTATTCTCCCAGCATGCTTAGTGAGCGCGTCTCAGTGTCGTCGTGTAGCGAGAAAGAAACCATGTGCTTTGTAACGCGCTAGTCGCCGGGAGTTTCTCATCGTATGGTGAGTCTTAGGAGCTCGTGTATTTCCAAATCCCCGTTCCAGCAGTGATTAAGTGTTTGTTTTGTAGGTTTTTACTTGCGAGGTGAAGCTTGTTAGCCAAAGATGAGACTCCAATTCCGATCCTGTTGTGTTGTTAAGAAAATATGCTGAGTGTGCAACTCTCGATTATTAAACTTGTGTTCAAGAACCCTTGTGTTGTGAAGGCGCGTTTTTGTCCCCTGGACAATTATCTCCTACCATTTCATCCACTCACTACTAATGAGACACTTCACAAGTGGCTAGAATGTATGTGATCCTACCTTCTCAAACTCATTAATAATTCATTAAGAAAATACAAAGGAAATTAATGTTTAATGAGTGTTTGGAAATCGGATGAAACACTGCTTAGTATTTGCATCCTTAATTTGTCCTTCAAAAATGATTTTGTTTGAGAAGAAATATCAAACATGAGATGCAGTGTTTCATCACCAGATGAAACACCTCGAAGTTCGTCAAAAATACTCCGCTGCGCGTCGTATTTTCAACTCTCTTCTCGGTGTTTCATCTGGTGATGAAACACTGCATCTCATGTTTGATATATTACTTCAGACACATTGAGTTGCCATTCATTTTCTCTGCACACGCCGCTGTCTATAAAGGAACAATAATGAAAAGCAATTACAATGGGCAACTTTAATGTGATGATATTTCTGTGAATGCAATTATAAACTTGGATGATTATTGTCGTTATTAAATCAATGACTAAAACAAGTCAACTTAATAATATAACTAAATAATGATATACCATGGTGGGTGCCCTGTGTTAAAAAAATATCAATTCCTTGTTTTTTGCCATTATTTTGATGAAAATCACATGAAAGACATGTAAATGAAAAAAAAAAAATATCATTATTGAAATCAATGATACAAACAAGTCAACTAAATGATCTAGCAGGAAAATCCAAGGAAGATGTGTTCAGACGCGTACTCTGTCCCAAATGGCCTTTCAAGATGGCGGCTTGAAGAGATCTTTACATTGACTGTAAGTATCTACCAGAATCGCCGTTTTTCATGCGAAATTGTGGAAAGTTTTAATCAAGAGGTTTGAGTGAAGTTTTAACCTCTTCTTGGTGATGAATTTGTTATCTAAAGCAGCGAGAAAGGGGAAGAAAGGAGAAGCAAGCATGTTGAAGCAGACCAGACTCAGAAAGACAGGACTAGTGCATTTTCAAGGAGCATTCTATAAATGATAATTCCGTTAAACCAGTGGGTTTCTCAGATCCTCTCTTGTCGATTCTTACCCTTGGCAAATCCCAGCTAATATCATCTTGGTTTGCAGAAACGAGCTGAAACTCACTAATCAAGATTAGACTGAAATCGTGCTTATCTTCTCGATGTAACGTACTCGTCCACTCTTCAGCGACTTCAATATGGGTAATGCAAGGCTGACAACCACCGCCAGAAAAGCAAGGAGTCTGGGAGTAGTATTTGATGACAACTCAGTTTAGGAACTTATCAAAGATAAGAAAGTATCTCACACAGGTGTCTAGCGAAATTTCTGTGCATTTTTTATTACATCTAAAATAGATTATTGTAATTCCTTGCTCTGCGGTTTTAGAAAAGTGGAGTTGAAGAAACTTTTAATAATATGTTCAGAACACTGCCCTCAGAATCGTTACTCAGACTCGTAAACTAGAACACATGGTCAGCGGCCAGCGAGCAGGATAGCCGCGTTTTCTTTTCTGCTAGTCTTCATTTCATTTTTCTATTTTTTTTTCTGTTTTTTGACTTAATTTTTAACAAAAAAACACAAGAACTAAGTTTTATAATTTTGCCTGTACTTTTTTTTAAATTAAAAACTGCATGTTTTTTGCTATACGTAACTCCAAGGGGCACAATCACAGTTTATCTAGACGTGACCCTCTCTTCTCCTTCCGATATGCAATGTTATTTAATTTAAGTGCTGTAATTTTGTATTGTTCGTTTCCTTTATTTGTTACTTACTTTTTCACCCTATATATCTAGTTCTGTATTATCATCTGCTAAGGTTTGGAGAAACAAATTTTAATGAAATGAAAATGAATTACGCCTATTTTATTTGACCTTCACTGGCTTCCTGTTAGTTTTTGTGTGGTTTTTAAACTTCTTTTGTCAGTTATCAAATCACTTTAATAACCTTCCACCTAGCTATCTAGCGGACAGACTTAGTTATCAAAGACACTGCAGGAACTTGTGGTCCGCATCTCAGCAGCTGTTAGAACAACCTCGAAAACTCACGAAAACTTAGGGGACAAGGACTTATCTTTTTATGCAGTCTGCGCCCCATCAAAAATGGCAAAAACAAGGAACTTTTCACTACCCATTGGAAGCTTGTTAAAGATTTGCTGCGAATCAAGTCACCATCCCCTAAACTAAGGACTGAAAATCAATTTTAACCATCTCTCAAAAAATTCACAGAATGTGAAGCAAAAATTCTAACAGATACGCACTTCAGGTCAGACTGTACAAAGACAAAAACCTTCAAGCCGACATCTTGAAAGGCCATTTGACTGAGTACGCATCTGAAACATTTTCCTTGGAATTTCCTGATATATCATTTAGTTGATTTGTTTTTGTCATTGGTCTCAATAACAATGCAATTTCCTTTTTCATTTTCAAGTCTTTCATGTGATTTTCATCAAAATAATGGCAAAAAAGAAGGAAATTGATATTTTTAGCACAGGATACCCACCATGGTAAATCATTATTGCTATATCATTAAGTTGACTTGTTTTAGTCATTGGTTTCGATAATAATAGTCAGTAGTAATACAGTTTCTTTTTCCATTTACATGCCTTTTATGTGATTTTCATCCAAAAATGGCAAAAACAAGGGATTGCAATTTTCGGCACAGAGGGCCCATCATGATAGGTTGTTAAAGAACTTCACCGAGCAGTTACTGCAAAGCCTAAAGAGGTAGCTGTGGGCACCGATCCTAATATTGACTAACATGCCCTAAGCTACAACCATGCAAAGTTTGGTGCTTTTTTTTTTGCACCAAGCCACCGGACTATAGGGAGATTTAGACAAAACGGTGCACTCAAATGTTAAAACGTTGAGCATTGGTACATCGGCAAACGAGGACCGGAAGTCGCGCTCCCTTTAGCTTTTCGTGTCTGGCCTAATTTTCTTGGAATTCAGCTGAAGTTCATTCAAGAGGAACAGCAAAAAATAATGAAAAAATATGTATAAAAAATGAGCTGAAAATGTCCTAGATCGGGTCTCTTCAAAGAAGATAAATCGTCTGAATGGTATTCTAACATCAAAATTTTCAAACAGTAATAAAACTTCATCGATATATCAAAACAATGAAGTTGCTCGTTATGATTGTTTTCCATTAGTATTCCTTTATAGACAGACAGTTGAGAAATAAATGGTAACCCTCGATGCCTGAAGGCCGGCAGAATCACATAGCTACTTTGAGACCATTTCACCTAACTGCGGGTAATCGCATTTGGTCAACGATGAGTACGGGTTTTGTCTCATGCAAATTCGCACTACAGAAAATGTCCGAATGAAATTCTCCTGGTTCTATAGCTGAGAGGCTCTTCAAACTTTCTGCGTTTTAAAAAGCAAAATTAAAAGCTCATATCCCTCAGATAAAAATTGCACTGAGAGACGTACCCGTAGAATTGGGCCATAAACTTCGTATGTGAGTGACCGGAAAGCCCCGGGACGAAATCAAACAATCGAAGGAAATGTAGGAAGGCAGTAAATTAAAGGGATCGATGGCCCATTTAGCTGTGTTGCTTGAAATGGCTTGGCTAGCTAGTCTAGTTATACAATTCAAAATACATGGCTACACAGCTGATTGTTCAGGCTACAGACCTGTGTAGAAAGTTGCAAAGCGCTAAGGGCGGAAGTGTCTCGACACGTTCAAAGCCTGTGCTAGCAGTTCAAGTTCAAAACTAAAGAAGAAATTGCAATATATGTAGGTACTGCATTAGATGAAGTACTGATTGGCGTTAAGATTCTATATAAAGTATTTTATAACCATACCTTGAATGTAAGCAAGCCCTCAAAAACTAGACTTTTCAACCGCAAAAATAAATTACACTACTCCAAAACGAAACCAATCTTTCATGGAAATAGGGTCCATATTTGGCAGCTGTGCGTGTGATCGGTTAGCCAGATTTCTCGGAATACAGTACGGCACCATAAACAAAGAGTCACGCGATCTCTTTACAGTATTCTTTTAAGAGGGGGACATGGGGGGGGGGGGGTACCCAAGTACCCAATACCGCAATACCGTACGAAAAAATGGTAAATACCGAAATACCGTGTCGAAAATGAACGAAATACCGATACCTCATTTATGATCGGTGACGCTTACTTAATGTTGTATCCATCTCCCGTGTTTTTTTTATCTGAGCTTGTATACACAGAAATGAACCTCAGCCTTAGCGAGAAAACGTGAGAAGATCTCGAATTGATCGGTACAAAGATTGAAAAGCCAGGTGATTGGATGCCCTACCAATTTTATCATAGAATAACTGCCAGAAATTGTGTATTCATTTACCGTTAAGTCTAAAGTCTTCCAAATATTGACCTACATTAGACAGGAGAGGCCAGATGAACAGTACCGCAATACCGTGATGGATCTTTTACCGAATACAGTTAGCCAGAAGGACGAAAAACCGCACACCGCGGGGCTGGATGATACCGCAATACCGCACATTAAAATCAAAATTACCGAAATACCGCTTGAAAAAAGCTCAATACGGCACTACCGTAAACCCCCATGTCCCCCTCTTTTAAGAAAGTTGGATTTATTAAAATGATAAATCGCAGTAGATACTTATGTGAATAATTAAAAGACGAAACCCAAGTTGGGGAAATTCTTCTATCTAGGGACATCAATTGCTGGAGTTTTATCTATAATTCGATTGCGGACACCCAACTGGACACCCAAATGTTAACCTTCAATATACGAAATAGTTGAACCTCTCCTTTGGGACACCTCCATTCAGGGGTCACAAAATTTGGTCCCGGAGAAACGTCCGCATAATCTTTGTATCTGTTACCTCTATTGAGGCGACACCTCTATTCAGGGTAAAGAGATATGTTTTTTGAGTACCGAAACTAGGGTTTGACCTCCATTCAGGGGGGCACCTTAGCACTCAAATCGTGACTAACCACAAAGAGGGTTGATATCTTTAAGTGAACACTAATCACAATGATGGCAGCCTTCACAAACTGAACATTCTCACTTTATATCGATGAAATGAACTTGTGTGAATTTAAGGTATAATGTCGCAGAGATAAGCCAATGATGAATTGTTTTATGTTGTCTTTGTTGGTTTAAAGTTAACAAACCCCAGCCCAACCTCTATTCACGGAACACCTCTTTTGAAGGGACATTTTTCGCGGTCCCGGGAGTGTCCCCTTAATAGAGGTTCTAGTGTAGTTCAGGCCCCAGTTGTTCAAAAGGTGGATAGCGCTATCCGATGGATAAATCTCTCTATCCATTGGATAACTTAATTAATTTCCCTAATACTTATCCGGTGGATAGCGATATCCAGCGTTTGAACAACCGGAGCCTAAAACAGCTAAGATAAAACACCAATCGTGGGTTAAACTTTAACCCAGTGTTGAACCAGGATTAAAATAACAAATCTACTTTTTCTCTTTTTTTTCCTTTAAACCGAAATATTGGACAATCAAAAATTTTCCCAAACCTGTTTCAACCTTGCAATCCATTTAAACGTGAATGCAAAGATCCTCCCAGTTGAAGACGCAACGTCCACATTCCACAATTCCAATATATGACATTTGAATCAGTTTATTATTCCATTTAAAAATATAAACAGACACTGACCGACGGCCAAGGACCTCTTTTCGGGGGAGTTTATTTTGCTACTCTTCAATATCTTTATAGTATAACAATATTTTCCTTTAAATAAATAACAACGAGTTTCTCGGTTCAGAATCTTAACGTAAGCTTGCAACTGTACACTAACAATAAATGTTACAGCAAATACAGAGTAGGGCGTTATCCCTGAATACTCTCAATATAAGGCTGTCCTTATCAAAGGAAAGAAAAAGACTCGACGAGAAATTTAAAGTTATTTCAAAAATGAAAACAAAAATATAAATCAGATCTCTATAATAAAATCAGATCTCTGATTAAACTAATTCTAACTTGGTAAATTCTACAAATGAAATGGTAAAACGGATTTTTATCCCATTGCTTAAAATGTGGGAATTAACGATTCAAAATCAAGATACATGAAAATGTATTTGAATTACCCAATCAAATAAAACTTCCATAGAGAAGATTATCAATAATTTTTACTATACAACTCTTCCAAATATACATCTAATCAGTATTTACCTGAATTTTCCTTTATGGATTACAGTTTCTGTCTCCTTTCTTTTACCCTGTTTTTGAATTCTTCAACGTAATTTTCGTTTTCTTTTTTTCTTTTAAAAATGGTTTTCCTGTTTTTGCCTCGTTCAATTAGGTAGTTACTTCTTGGTCATCAAGAGCGCAACGGTCTTGGGAATATTATTAAATACACATCAAACAAACCAAAGAAACGAACACTCAAAAAGGAGAAACAAAAGTAAGCGAACAAATACAAAATAGACGGCAGGTACCTAAGTTCGTAGTTGCAGAAATGTGTTAATTGGGAGCTTTAGCACTCAGTGACGAAGACGGCGACCAGTTGCTAAAGCTCCCTAGACATAACCTTTCGAGATTTTGTCCAAAACCGTTTATATCAACAGGATACTGGTTCTGTGTATGTTGCTCGCGCTTTGTTTGCCTCGCGCGTACAGGCTACAACCAGTTGCAAAAATGCTTGACACACTGTATAATTTTTAAAGCCCAAAGTGGTGTCCACATTGTGCGTAATTTTGTCCTTGATTTAAATTTTATTTGCCTTTGTTTATCATACATTACCATATCCCAATACAAAGGAAAGGATAAACCTGAACCACAACATCCATAAGTTAACAGACTTCGCACGCCAATGGTTATTAACTTTGTAAGGATTCCCAGATATTATCGAGCCAATCTGAGTATCGGGCGTTTTCGGCAGAACTGAGGGCGAAGAGGGGAGAGAGCGAAGGAAAAGAGAACCTCCTCTAGCCCCTCCACCTCTCCTCTCAAATCTCAAATTTCCTCTGTCGTAACCCCTAAGGGAGGCCTCATTACTCAGGCTAGATTGAATCCAAAACTTGCAGGGACAACCATGGAAGGGAAGAGGGAGGAAACGCAATTGTACTCACGACACACTGAAGTAAGAAACCTAGATTTTCTGCAAGAGTGTCCAAACTATTTTGCAAGTGTTTGTAGCCCTTACGCATCAGTTCACAGACCTTTGTCAACTAACCCTTCACTGAAGCTCATGAGGAGAGTGTCGCTGGCCCTGTGATTACCCGGTACTGGTACAAAATAGTGTTGAGTTCACACATTGGCTACCTGATGTGTCACTGTGTATACGATCCATGTTGCCCTGTCAGACGCCACTTTAACATGCGAGCAAAGAGAAGCAAGAAGTTGCCCACTTAAGCGTCTTTCAATTCGGGCAGTGGAACTGAACCCGAATATGGTGTGGGTACTTGAAAAGGAGGCGTGTTCGTATTAGAGGCAGCGCGCTCGGGAACCAAGTGTGAACCCAAAACTAACCCTAAGTTATAGGGATACCGCAAACACAATAAATGGCAATTATCCCGCATCGTTTCAAACCTTTCAGCAGACACCAAAGGACGTTTTTCCTTTCCATTGCCCTTCAACTTCAACTAAAATCAAAACGGCATAAAATGTCACTTGAAAACTGGGCTTCAATTGAAAAGGCCACAATACCATATACCTCAAATAAGAAATCAGATCCCGCACAAAAAACTTATGACAATTACTTCTTAATGAGCGACCTTTCCATTTTCTATTGCCTGGCTTTCTTTGCCGGCAGTAGCCGTGACAGGACGATGAACATAGTCTCCATCTTCCTGTGCTTTCTGCCATTTCTTTCTATTCGACAGAACTGTGTCCAGCACCACTTGAGTCTCCGGTAGCAGAGAAGACAATAACCTAGAAGGTTAATTTTAAAGGTTTTCAGTTTTTGGGAGTTGGAGGGTGATGCTGGGGTATCGCCCCGCCCCTATGTTAGAGCCTCCAGAAAACGCTATCCGACATCCGGGAAATTTTTGCTTGTGAAATCCGCACACCGCGAAAATTTGGCTGGTAGAACCTCGAATCCTGGGTTTTGGAATCTTGAATACAGCTCAAGGAAACGGGAATCCCAGTAACGATTGGAATCCAAAATCCAAGACTTCCATTCCCTTACATGGGGCGAAAGGGTGCCATTTGCACAGGATCCCCTGGCTTTATCAGTGGGGTGCCGAAAGTAACCATCATTAGCCTAAAGCGATGCATTTTTTGTTGTTGTTGCAACAGATCTACGAGAAAAGACGGACTGAAAGCCGTCTTAGCCAGATTGCCAGTGTCGACTTTCGTGAGTAAAAGAATACTGCAGGGATGAACTTTAGTTTAAACATTTTTTCAGGAAAACGAAAAAATGGACTTTCTGGATGGAAACATTCATCTGAAGAGTAGAGCAGGAGTTCTGGTATTGTTTACATTACAAGCTAACCTGTACACTGGAACTGCTATCGCATCGAGGAAATCGATCTGCAATTTAGGAATGCATGCTCGCTCTCTGTCCATCATTTCAATTGGGGTGATCCCCATGCCTTTTTCCTGTGAAGAAAAAAAGAGAGGGGAATTGGCAAACAAACAAGGAGTAGATAATCCCATGCGAACTGGTTTGGACAAAAGAACAGAATGGAGATAAAATCAGACAGAGACAAGTTAAAAGTTGAGAAAAAGAAGGCCAGCCTAGAATAAATATTACGGTGCATACCAAGCTATACTCTGAAATTGTTTTCTTTTTCTCAGTTTCAAGGTCCTTAGGATATTTACATTTGTCAGCAGTAACAATGAGTGGCAAAGCGACCGGGCAGAGGTCAGAATAAAAAAACAAGAAATAAAATTTAAAGCACCAACCAACAAATTCTCACACCGTTTCATTAACATAATTATTTGGTCAAAATTTCCCGACATTTTGATCTGATCAAAGCATCGAACGCCTGTCGCCCGGCCAATTCAGGGTCTCCGCTTGACTTGCGAACAAATACTCACCATGTCACCCTGTGAGAAGAACTCGGTGTAAATCAGGTCCTACAAGTAACAAATCAAGCAGGAAAATTACCAACAGAATGATAGTTGCTAACACCCTTATATAAGCTGCTAATTGTTAACCAATGTCCAAACATTGTCAGATGAATTTGTCTGGTAAGGATGATGAACGCGCTCGCCTGCCGCAGAAGTGGCCTAGGTTCGAGTCCCAGAGGCGACGCCGTAACATGATAAGTGGAAGCGTGGTCCCTAGACATCTTATCTTTCCGTGTTGTCCGCGCGAAGTCTGCGAAAGGGTGGGCAAGAGTTCTCATTCTCGTTCTGGCCCCGGTTGTTCAAAAGGTGGATAGCGCTATCCACTGGATAAATTACTATCCAGTGGATAACGCAATTGGTTTTCGTACTACTTATCAACTGGGTAGCGAATTATCCGGTGGATAGCGCTGTCGAATTTTTGAACAACCGGGGCCTGGTCCCAGTTGTTCAATAGGTGGACAGCGTTATCCACCGTATAAATCCTTAACCAGTGGATAGTGCAATTGTTTCCCTAACACTTATCCGTTGGATAGTAATTTATCCCATGGATAGCGCTACCCACCTTTAGAACAGCTGGGGCCTGGGCTCGTTCTTCTAGGTGAGATCACCGCGCGAAAGTAGATTCCAGTTCGAGCAGAGCCGGAAAGCCTCGGGTCTAGGCTGGAAATGGGAGTTGAGTTTAATCTTGTTTCTCTTCACGCTACCACTGAGATTTTTCATTTAATGTTATTAACGGCCTCTAAAAAACCTGATTTCGTTTATTTTTTGGTATTTCAGTAGGAAACAGAATCAGACATCTACCGCTGTTCTCCTTGTTCCCTCCCAGTTTTTCGTTTGATCAGAGAGATCACTGGCTGTCATCATGAGAAACAGAAGGAGAGTGTGATGGTCTGCAGAGTCAGCATTGAATCCGTCTGTGGACAAACATACGAGAAGGGTGATTGAGGACAGTTGCACATCTTATACAGCTGTGCTTTTAGTTTAAGTCATGCAGTGTTAGGGAATGTAATTCAGAACTGCAGAACAAATGAAAAGCGCACGTCACTACGCTTTTCAGAAATACGCCGCCTTCATAATTGCGTTTTTCACTGCCGTCAATCATAACGAGCACAAGCAACGAACCCTAAAACAACGAAACACAAAACGGATCGAAATCCACCAATAACAAATCACAAACCATGACGTTTTGAACCCGTTAAAGTAAACTTCTGTTTCCTAAGAGGTCCGCTTAGATGTTTGACGGAAGCTAAAAACGCGTGTTTTTGAAAAGAGCAGTAATAACTATAAGTGCACTAAAGAGCTAAATGAAATCCAAAGACGGCATACACCTTATTACAAAACGGTGGCAATATTACTTTTCTTTTACGTTTGCGCTAACTATCCGCTCAACGGCAACTGGGAAATGAAAATTAACGTTTACATCAAAACGAGGAATTGGATGCCTATTATGGGATGAAGAAAAAAGAAGGACCAAATTTGCCACCATCTTTGAATAAGTGTATGGACGGGCAAAACTGCAGAAGGAAAAAAGGACAGACCGCGTGAACTTGAAAAACAGACGACGTGGTGGTATTTGTGAACGTTAATGGGAGCTCTGCAACTTTCTGTAGTGTAGTCTAAAGAGAAATTTGCATTGAAGTCTCTTCTACCTGAATTTTAAAGCCTGAAAGTGTCCTACCACGATAACAGTAAACCGAACGAATCTAATGATCTCCTAAGCTCACCTTTCGCCATTTTCTTGATGTCATTGAGGATTTTCAAATGATGAGCGAGGTCTGTTGCCAAAATGATATCACGGATGAGACCAAAGACTTCTTCGTAGTCCTAAAGGGAAAAGCAAATAACGATCTTATAATCAAATGAAATGGTGCTGCAATCTCGTCCCTAGAGTGTCTGTTCTTCCTTCTAGAGTCCATTTTTGAAAAGTCCGTGGTTTCTTGGTGGTGGTGTTCAATCACCAAATGACGTAATACAAAAGATTAAAAAGGTACTGAACAATAACCACACCACAACGCAATGCCTAACCAACAATGGTTTCCGCAACACCAAGAAAAATTCAAAAGTCTCCGAGAAAGCTGTTCACGGTGCTTGCACTCGAGCTACAAAGTTCAAAAGTTTTCAATAGAAAGTAATCCAATAAAGCTGTCGGTAAACGAAACGGTGTGGAAAGGTTTATGATCTTGGACCAGCACTACTAACCCTTGAAATATAGCTACAGGCGAGAAACGTTGCCTGGAACAGTCCTGGAGTTTCGAGAAACGGGTCCCAATGATCCCCTATTGGTGGGACGGAAACGAGAGACTCTGCTGAATAGTCGATGGACTGTTAAAAACGTCTGAATTCTTGTTACATGTAAAACAACGAGAAGATAAAATAATTCAGATACGGACAACTTCTATATGATCATCTGTGCCACGTGAAAGTCTAAGCGCTTGTACGTCAGTTATTCTAACACGCTCCACGGAACGAACCCGCAACCTCCCACTCTGTAGACCAAAGCATTACCGACTGAGATTTTCCTGACGTGGTTAAATAATACCCAAACGACGCAAAGAAATCTCACCTTTCCGGTTAAATTCTTGAAAATATTACAACCCTCTGAGTTGAGGATGCACATGGTTTGAGCAAAATGATGTCTCTGCAAAACAGCAAGTAAAGTAAATGCCAGTCGGTTTTACATACAGTAAATGAGGCGACCATTATTCTTTCACAGCATAAACTGAGCTTAAGCACGTGTACACAATACTCATCAAAAGAAAATTCGGGTTTAATGCTTTTTTTTTGAGTTTCTCCGTCAAAATTTTGTTTGAGTCGAGTCACACCGATGAAACACCTGACCGTCGTACTCCATTTGTTTCTTTGATGAAACACTGAAAATATCAAACTGGCTCAGTAAAATTACAAGACGAGTCACAACGCCGACCAAAATCAAACTGTCTTTGAAAATCACCAACAAGCGCAATCAGAGCTTTAAGATGTCTTTCAAGACTATTTAACTGGTGAATCACCTTTAACTGGGACCAGTTTCAGTAAAAGTTAGAATTCATTGTTTGCCTTAATGGCATTTGAAATTTTTTTTACCAATTGTGCGCGCGATATCGAATGCAATTTGAGGTCACTTACGCCAAATTGCACCATCGCGTAACTTCGGAAGTCTTGGTGGACGTAGCAGAAAAAGGGAAAACAAAACACAAACAAACAAAAACATCAATAATAATAACAACAACAATCATACGGCAAGTACCTCTAATACAGAGCCCTTCGAGCTATAAAGCGCAGCCAGTGTTGAACCCTGAAAACAGTAAAAAAGGGAACGCAATTGAGCAGTAAACAAACGAAAAAACAAAACAAAAAGCAAACAAACAAATTTTTAGTTTAAAAAGAATGGCACATAATAGGACAGAACCAGTAAACAAACAAAAACAGTAATTTCACCTACCGAAGACACCTGGAAAGAATTTGTGGTGCCCCTGTGGTCAATATCATGACACAGGCAGGCCACAAACAACGCCAGCATTTCAACATCTCTATCAAATAGAAAAAAAAAGGCAACAGTGTGTTTAAAAGACCTTTGAATTTCCCTGTTTGGAAATATACTAAAATTGTGTAGCGGCGGCGTAGTACACCACATGAACATCAGCTCTGTACACTGTTTAAAGAAATAATGATTGCCCAGACTGTCTCGACTTTCAATTCGTCTTCAAAAGTGTTCCGGCGATCGCGTCGGTCATATGAAATCACCTGTGATGCAAAAGGGGACTGTACGGAAGATTAGGCCGATCGCAACCGCCTGCATACAACTGGAGTCTCGCCCCATGTAAGCTAATCCGGATTCTGGAATCCAAGAAACGTTGCTTGAGGAATCCAGAATCCGGGGCATTTCTGCTTATGGAGTCCGGAATCCCGAACTTTGTTAATCCGGAATTCAGCTGAAGGAATCCATAATCCAAGTTCAACTGACATCTGGAATCCAGCACCTGAAACCCGGAAGCCACAACGTGGAATCCTGAATACAAGACCAGATCGGATCATTATGCGTGGGCAGATTTCCCTATAACTGTCGGAACACCTTGGCCGTCCATTGAAAATCGCTTAAAAAAACAAGACCATCAAGAAATCAAGGCGACTATTTGGAAATCAGGGTTAGGATGTAGGTCTCACTCAGTCTGCTTACCTTAAGTTGTTGCTTATCTTTGCATTCTTGAAGAGAAGGTAACAGAAATGAGCGACAGTGAAAGCGTGACTCCAGTTATGATACGGGGGATTCCTGTAACCTTTTCTGACCATCAGCAAAAATCTGCAAACAATATTTTTACAACAACTTAGTGACTTCTCGCGCGTTGATTGGTTTGCTGTGGTGACAACCACATTTGTACTGGAAATTTCGTAAAGAGACCGTAACAATATTTGTTAAAGTGCGGTTTGGCAGCATACTTAGGATTATCAGACTCCAATGCCCTTTGTCCTAGGAACGCACGAGTCCTTCAGCAACTCCTCGACAATTCGCATGAGCAAGGAATTTGCAAACGAGAATTTATCAGCATAATGGTGGTTTAGTAACTTAAGTGTTTGGGTTCTGGCACGAGACGATGTTCGAAATACGATTAGCGCAAACCCAGGGTTTGTTACCATGACAACTTGAATGTTCCGCTTACAGTTAATCCGAGGCTAATCAAACTTCGAACATCTTGGCTCACTTGGTGTCTCCCTTCATCTTATAAAAATTATGACGCTTTGGGGCTTTGGTTTCTTTATGACAGTATAATCTATATATCAAATAGGAAGTAGTCCACCACTGCGTCCTTCCCTCCCAAAAAAACGAACGAACAAACAAACAAACCAGAAGAAAAAACAACAAGGACCAAGAAGAGGCTTTTTATCAACGTTTTTTTACCACTTTAGTTTTTCTAACAGACACTGAATGAACATGGAAATCGCGATAACGGAAAAAAAAGACATACGGCCAGTTATTCAAACGGAGTTCAGCCAGTGTTTGACAAAACCACTTTCTACGCCATTTTCCAAGTTCCTAACGCTTTCATGTAAACACCATTTATCGCAAACAGTTTCATGAAAGCATATAGGGTACACAAGAAAAGATAGAAACCCACGATGAAAGAGATCTAAAGGTCCAAAGATTTGCAAAACCGCGGTGCAAGCTAGACTTCGATAACCGACCCAAAGAGTATGACTCCTTTTATCTCCTAAGTACAAGGTTAAATTCTTTGCTCCGACTGCTGGTACTGCTCCTACTTCACTCAGACTCTCCCTTCGCCACGGTAATGTTATTTTGACTTTTTTCATGAAAGCCAAATATCTGTTTTCTTGCGGGGTCTGGTCGGTATATACCTTACTAAAACTTCTTTGGGTATTCTCCACTTCTCTATCATACCAAGGTCTTCAAACATACAAAGGCAAGCCTACAAAGAGAAAAGATATTGGCGAATATAATCAGTTGTAGTTGTTGATCGGTGTTATAATTTAACAAGAAAACAGTTATAACAGAAATAACAAGAATAACATCATCGGTAACAAAAACACTTTCACACACGATTGAGATCAGTATAGAAAATGATGACTATCCATTGTAGGGATAACGAGAGACTTGTTTCCTTCGATTTCATGTTGACAATAAAAATTAGCGATAGCAATGAGTGACGTTTCGTGACTCCATGTCATCGTTTTCAAATTCGTGAAGTTCTTAATTCCGTGAGATCATTATATGGGGAGTTGTGTGCGAAAGTTTAGTTGCATGTGATTAAAAGAGAATAATACAATATAAAGTGTAAAAGGTGCTAATTTATGAGATAAATAGTTTTGCTTTGATAGAGTCAGATTGGGCGTTTAGTTTAGGTTTCTTTTCTCTGATAAAGAGCATTTCGTAAATTAAAGCATCCATCTTATAGAGACGATGCGTCCTAAAATTTGAGCAAAATCATTGCCCAATAATGCAAGAGGTAAACGTCAGTTATCTACTCTATCTTTCTTACCCCGCCCCCCATCAACCATTTTGCGAACGTGTAAGCGATAAGGTTGCCTAGTATTATGAGGAATTAAAAGATAACCTACTGGTAACGTAGAATCTGGTAAAATAGTTCTAGGTGCACAAGCGAAAAGACGGAACTGTGAGTGTATTTCTTCTGTCTTGTGAATTGGTTTGGTGATTAAGGCGTCTACTTCAGCTTGATTGACCTTTAAGGGATAAGAGCAATAAAACCCTTCAATCAGTTACACATGTGGCTCTTATAAGTCAAAACACGTACGAAGTTAGAAAAGTAAATTTAAAACAAACTTGACTCGCAATCTCCACACAGATTACATTCTAGCGTGCCATCACCCTCTCAATGGACGAGTGTTGTATTTATCAAAAACATCATCATCATCATCAACAATAATAAAGGAGACACCCACTAGGACTCTTGATTTTTTATATTATATAACAAGAAAATACGTAAAGTAAATGGATCGTCTTTTTTAAAATTGAGCTTCGGTAGTTTCGTATTACTGCCAAATTTAACGTGGAATCTATCATAAAAAATCTACTAAGATTTTTAGAGACAAGTCTTTCAAAAGTCCTATTTTATCTGTTTTGAGTTAAGGAAAATCTAACATGTCCCCAGTGTATAGTATTTTCATTACCGTCATATGGTAGATCATCATTTCACTTGACAATCGACTTCTATGAGAGGCGTCTTTAGCATTCTTGTATAACAGAGACTAAAGAAAAAAAATAGAGAGGGAGAGAGAGCGAGAAAATCATAACAGACATGAATGTACTGTATAGATCAAGAACCCTCACTTCTTTAACAGAAAGAAGAAGACTCCTAAAGGAAAGGAAAAAGCTAAAGAAAATTTAGCACGCGCCGCCATTTTGAATTTTGTGACGTCACTCGGTTGCTCCTGTTGTACTCTGATTAACTGCAGCCAAAAAACCAACATGATAACTCAATATGGTGGCTGATGCGACAGCTTTATGACAGGAAAATTTGGGGTAAATTTAAATCGTCCTTGAAAAGAAACTGGAAGTCGGAAATCACACTTATACTCAGAAGCAGGAGTCACGATGATCTCCAAAGTTATTAAAGAAACCTGAACAGTTTTTCGCAACGAGCTATAACTGGGGGGTATTTTATCTAAGAGTCTGACAAGCGCGTGATACATTATCTCCCAGTAGTTAAGGGGCCCATTTGGTAGCCAGTGTCTCAACTCAATATTACACTTCTACCAAGTAAGACATATAACCAAACCTTTCATTAATGTGTACACATAACATCGTATTAACGAGCGAGCGAGTGATATCATTAGTCCTTAACGTAATGTATTGGTATAATTACTCAGATGATTATATATATTCGGCGCTCTGATTGGTCGAGCATTACGTCGTTTGTCGCGATAATCACACCCGCGCGGGGTGATTATAGCGATCTCTGATGACTCTTTAGGAGATCGAGCGAAAACTGTGAGAAACCCCAATAGAAGACTAAAAACAGATTCTGAAAACCTCTAACGACGTCTCTTATTTCGGGATAAACCATTTTAAGGTAAGATTTTGAAAGACTAGTTCCTCCAATAAAACCAATTTACGGGTAAGGTGAAAGCATTAAAAAAGTGAATCTCCGGCAATCCTTCGTCGGAAAAATATCTGTTTTAAAAGAAATTAGTAAATTTCTTCAGTTTTCGTTGAAAATAATGAAAATGGCACCGTTGTCAACTGGAAAGATCAAGACAACAAAGGGATCAGCAAAACTTAAAGCTTAAGTTTCTAAGAGTCTGGCTTACATGTAACTAAGCAAAGCAATTAAAACAGTTAAAAGCATAGAAAAAAAGATTGTATTTGAATGCAAAAGCATTACACTGTAAACCGACAGAATTAACAATTTAAATTCGGATTTTCCTTTTCTCTGTGATAATCACATTAGTAGTTATAATTAAAATACAACAGTCATTCAGCTCAGGTCAGTTCATATTGTTTATTAATCCTCTCGACTTCATTCGTCCATATAATTAAGTAAATTGCCAAAAAAAAGATAGATTTTTGCCTTTTTTTTTCATGGTAAGGACGCACTTTTCTGTTGAAAGAAAAGAATCCTATTTAACCCTCGACTTCGCTCGTTCATATAATTACGTAAATCGCCAAAAAAAATAAAAAATAGATTTTTGCCTTTTTTCTCTTTCACGGTAAGGACGCACTTTTCGATTAATAAAGAAATTGGTGTCACCCTTCTCGTTTTTAGCCGTAGGACCGTAGGACAACAGGTATTTCTTTCCTTACTGGCATTTTAAACCGATACTTCTAAAAAGACAACAAACCGACCAGCGTACACGGCTATTTTGCATTTAATATTTTTTGTTTTCGTTTTGCTCAAAAAGAGCGGGAAGCGGACGCGCGCGCGCCACGTGCGGGCGCGTTTCAGCGGCTACTTATAAAAGCCTCTTTGTACTGCACATGCGCAGACAGAATGCCCCTCTGTTCCGTAGGACAGCAAAAAATTCGCACCACCGACGTATCACCTGCATTCCTTCCGCTTTTTGAGGGAGAACTGGGGCGAGTTTTAAAGGGGCAAGAAAGCACTAGAAAATAAGATTTTACGGAAACTACATCCAAACATCGAAGTTAGGATGCAGTCTGATAAAGATGGAGCTTAAATGCCATTAAAAGTGATTCAGCACATGTTCACATCCACTATGGAACGCCTGGTTGCGGAGGGCGAACTCATCGCCGACACGCGTACCGCTTTAACTAGACGTTATTCACATTTTCATGACATTGAGACTCTTCTCGGCCAGAAAAAACCGTCACCGATAATTCCATTAACAGTTCTCTTCGATGGACTTCATGGTAATAATGCCTCTGGAGAAGCTTTTTTTCACAGCGTCCGTCTTGTTATGCGCAGTAATAATAATCATTGTTATAGTAAAAACAGCATTTATTTAAACACGATTAAACATTCAGCAAAGCTGATGTGGTCGTATACAAACAATAAATTAAACTTCCTAACTAATCACAATAAGACTAATATAAGAATTCTACGTATTTACAAAAATAAAAATTCTACACAGTACATCATTATAATATATGTGGCTGAATCAGCAGAAACTCTGACTCGTCCCCAGTCTCTCTCGCAACCTGTCCCTAGTTGCGCGCAAAGTGCGATGGGAAGGAGGAAAGCGAGGGAGTGTTTATCTCTTCTCACTTTCCATTGACCCCTGCTCCCGCTGCGCGCGTTATGCGAAGACTACTAGGGACGAGTCAGTCAGAAACCGGAAACGGGCTTTGAGAAAGTCTAGCCTCAAGTTTCCACCATGATATTTGGTAACTGTCGCGTCCTATCGACGACGCGCTAGACAATCAAACATTCAGATACCGGCAATGTTAAACCGTCTCTGATCGGATTCATATCCACTTAAAGACGACTTACAATGACCAGGAAACACAGGTAAATAACAACTGATTATTTTATTACCTAGTATAGCGTTCGGGTTTCCTGTATTTTACTGCTGTTCTAAATCATCAGCGTAACCAAGGCAACGATAGAGGTCTAAAATTTTACCAGTGATAAACCTTGTCTTATAAAAAAAATTTGTCCGTAGCATATTTGGGCTTTATTACTGCTAAGAGTCGTGTGGAAGACCCCCAAAGAATGACAACCACTAAAAACCTATAAAACCTGTATTCAACACGGACGAAAAGCAACACATTAAGTTCCCGCTTGCCAGTTAAATGAATTCGCGCGAATAAACGTCAAACAAACCTACTATTTCCTAATGCAGACGGGGCAAACAATTACATTGCTAAAAAGAAACGTCTTCGGAAGAGAGGTAGAAAGAAACAAACGAATGTCAGCGGCGCTGTCTTTAGTACATACTTTCATAAAAAATGAATTACTGAGTATTTGATAAAAGTCAACAAAGGCAGCTGAAACTTTTGTTGGTGCGATACGCTAACAAAAAAATAAAACACTATTGAAAAATTATATCAATTTCAATAAGAAGCCGAGAGTGTTAAAAAAAAAAAAAAGAAAATAGATCCGCTTGTCGGAAAAAAGGCGAACAAAGCTGCACCAGCCCTTCAAGGGCATCACGCATTTTCATCAGTATTTACAAAAAAAAAAGAATTCTGGTCAGGGGTGTTTTTCCTAACGAAAAACTGCGAGCAAAGCTGATAAGATGTTGCATATATGAGATTCTAAATTTACTCCGACAATTGTACCTTATCAGCACGTCATAAACTTGGAAGCAAGGCAACGCTAATTTCAAGAAAGGTAAATTAAACTTTTATTTGACGTTATGAATTTGCTCCGCATCAAAGATTTTTCCTTCCACTGAGCAACGCGCTCTCAACAACGGAATATCACAACTTTATTTCTGTAATAGCTTTTGCATTTGCATCACTAGCAACATGCTTAAGCTCTGTCCTCTAACGTGTATTTTATTCTCGTCACCTTTTCAGTGTTTATTACTGTTCTAATACTCTTGCGCTCATTAATGCTTCTCGCCAACTCGCGAAAAGGTGCTCAAAGATTTTTTCACCATTCCTTAGATCAACAACATTCATAATCTGCGGCAATGTCCTTGCCAACAACGAAAGACCGCCATTTGAAAACTCTAACGAACATTCCCCATCGTTCAACTCAGTTTAGAAATTTTTCCTATAATAAATATTCTTATATTCAAACCTGCATAAGAGTGCACGTTAGCTTTTTTGGATTACAAAAAAAAAAAAAAGAAAAAGAAAAAAAAATGCGTGGAACGGGTTTAACAAATTTATGTTTTGAAGCATGCCACATTTTACACGTTCAGTATTTTTGTGAAATTAATAAATTAATATGCTCGTGTTTTCTGGACCCAGCAATGTATGGAGCAACAAAAAAAAACTGGAAAAAAGGATAATAACGAAAGTACTTATTTTAACAGTTAAACGGAGTTGTGGAATAGTTGAATGCATATAAGCAGACATGGCAGGGCAAGTACTTTACACATATGTTAATAGAAAAGTAACAATAAATGTAAAACATTGAAATAATATATACAAGATAAAACTATATATATTGATCCTTCAAATTAAACAGTATTATACTTTCCAGTTCTTTTTTCATTACGTGCATAAAAGAAGTTCCCACATTGTAGTCTGTAAAAGACTAAAATGTCAAAAGCTGTCAAAGATACCAAATTTCAAATAAGCGATCTCCAGTTCGAAAGCAATATTTACTTTTTTCAGAATTAAAAGAACACAAGAAGGGAAAATATTTAATACCTTGATTCATGTTTCGAACAATTGAGCGGAAATGGGTTAGTTAGGACATGTTGGATAGAGCAGGAAGTAATGTGTAAAATAAGAGAGTTTTGTTATGGTTCGAAAGGGCTCACAGTAAGAACGTTGCGAGATAACTTTACAAATTCATCGTGCTGATAGCGAGGGGTGCAGATTTAAACAAACCGTATAGGCTTAAACAAACGCAAAAACAAAACAAAACAAAACAGAACAAAGCCAAGAAGGGGCGAATAAAGAAACAATATTAATTCTCCGTGACCAGAAAAATATTTGTTTCTTTTTCTCTTACTTTCTTTCTGTCTTTTGTTGTAACCCCTCAGACACGTGACGACTTTCAAAGGCTACAAAACTGTTGTCTTACAAAATACAAAGGTAAAGTCGGAAAATCTCAAGGATATAAATTATAATGAAAAAAAGGAAAATATGATAGCTGCCTTTCATAATTTTATACAACAGATTCATTTGCAACCGTGACAGATTTATAAACACGCTTGATTTTTAATAAATCATCTGTTGGAAAAGTTGACTTTTCACACGAATGTGTCATACTTAACAATAACCGTTGTCAAACGTTAAGAGCGAAGACGATAATGGATTATTAAAGTTCATATCTGCAGCAGATTCTGCACATCCAACCATCAAATACCACTTAAAGTGCAGAGGGAGGAGCGAGTCAATTTACAGGTGTAGACTTAGGATACTGAGTCTCGACGTTAGACAATTTACGGCCGAAGAATGCATTAATCCACTCTAATCTGTCAATAAACCATCCGTTTTCGTATCACGCACTAATGTCAATACGTCGTTTATTCATACAATTTTGTTATTCTCTGCAGTTACAAAAGTTACAAGCCAGCGACTTACTACCTTTCTAGCAGAAGCTACATTTTCGCGGTGAGAACTGGCCGCGTACGAAAAGTAGCTCCCTTTTCTTTTTTTTCAGAAATGTTGAAACGTTACTCTTTCGATGGTTATACTATTCTCCTTCTTGTTTTGCAATTGAGAAAAACCTGGTTTTAAAACGCTCAAAATTCTAACTGTCAACTTGTCCGCAGATGTACGTGTTCCTCTTTTTAGCTACGCCTTTGGGATCAAGCCCAAGGGGGTACTCTGGATTTCGAGTGACGGGGATGATCGAAGGATTCCTTTTTGGTATGGAATTTTCGATTCTGGGATTTTCTTTTGCGGGGGAGGGGGGGGGGGGGAGGAGTACCCCCACCCCCCAAATCAATTAAACAAAATAAAAATATTTCTTTTTGTAGCTTTATCGACGGAGAGTTTTTAAATTCCATACAAGCACGGTCTTGTTCGAAGGGAATTGAGCTTTTTGTTTTGGAAATCCAAAGTTCTATGCATGAGGTTAAAGGTTCATGAATTCAACCTATATTGTGTATTAATCTATGGGCTGTTCGATGAAAGCCTGATTAATGTGTTCTATTTTGTTTTAAAGGTTTCAAATAGAACAAAGCGATAAAAACAATGTCGTCTCTCTACATCAGCTTTGCTGTTGCTTTCTCAGTGATGGCCGTTGTGGATATTTTTGGCAACACACTCGTCATCCTGGTTGTACTCACGAACAAATCAATGAAGACACCCGTCAATTATCTGCTAGTCAATCTCGCAGTTGGGGATATACTTGTCGCAGTGTTCTTTGGGATTCAGTACATAATCACGCCAGTTGTCACCCACCCCACCGGTCTAATAGGGGATTTACTCTGCAAGCTTGTCACCGGAGGTGTACCAGGCTGGGTTGGCGCGGTCACGTCCGTATTCTCCCTGGTTGCCATAGCAATCGAACGGTATTCTTCAGTGGTGTTTCCCCACAACCAAAACAGAAGGTTAACAAAGAGAAAGGTTAAATTCTTCGCTCTCGTGAGTTGGATCCTTTCCCTCTTATGGGCCGGAGTAGGATTCTTCATCACAGTGTACAACCCAGTTGCAAATGCCTGCGTACACAGTTGGCCAAAACAGGTTTATGCGAATATTTACACAGTTGGCTGGACTGTGGTCGCCGGAATTATCCCGTTGACTATCATGGGATGTTTGTATTCGCGAGTGGTTTACAGACTGTGGTTTAAAAAGCAAGAGAACGAGGCTACCCAGAGGGCAGTGCTTCGCTACAGACGGCGTGTCACCAAGCTTGTGATAGCCGTGACATTTGTTTATGCATTTTGCTGGATTCCAGAACTAACAATTTACTTTTTGGGCTTCACTGGCTTAATTCAGTTAAGGCAGATTCATTTCAGTATTGCCTCTGGCCTTATCTTTTTAAACTCGACTGTAAATCCCATCGTGTACAGTCTGCAAAGCAGCACATTCCGCACACATTTCTGGTGTTTGCTCTCCTGTCGAAAGTTACGTAGGACTAACAGGGTAAATCCAGAGTTGGAACGAGATGAGATTGTAAGAACACAAGGCTCAGCTTCTTAATATTAAAGTGAACAACGCATATGATCACTAGACGAAAATGGCACTCTTACGTCCAAGAAGGAAAAGTGGAGGGAAACTCGAGGGAAGTTTGGTAGAGACCTCACCCTAGCAACATCCACAGGGACAATGGAATAAAGATTACTAAAGCGTGGATACCCACGATCAAACAACAGAGCACCCGATCGCTACTACAACCGACCGCTGAGGGAATAGCTTCGACCTCTCAGAATGCCAAGCATGCTTCAAATCGAAACCCACCACCCATAAGTGTGGTTCGTGATTCACCAATCATTAATGAGTTTATGCAACATGACGGCAGAAAGAAGAGGACGGCAAAACGTTTGTATGGGACAAACGTGATGGGGCTACTGATTACTCGCGAGTTTTCTCGTGATCTCCACTAACCTCATTGCTTTGTTCCGTTTTTTGTTTTTGTTTTCAAAAAAATCTATTTAAAGGAAGGGGAAGTTTTGCGAAAAAGTGTTCAAACATAATTACTGAGGTAGGTCTACCGTCTTCTTCTTGGGTAAATTCACTCTTAGAAGTCAACCATGGTGGTACTATTAGTCCCACTCTAGCAGTAAACTGGGCACTATTACGCGATGAAGATCTGCGCTATACGAAGTCGAAACGTCGTGATCGCGCACATTCATCGTTCGTCTTACTATCGTAAGACGGACGATAAATAAAGACCCTTTAATTACAACGTTTTATGAAAATGACTAAAAATTCCATTAGCAATGTTATTAAAGAACTGTAGTGAAAAAAATATATTAAGAAAACGTCCTTAAGTTCCTAGACTTTTCCAAGAGTTTTTGTACACACTTTGATGTCCACCAGGGATTGTCTTGTGAAAGTGTCCGGGCCTTAATTTATTTCAAGGACGGTAATCAGGCTGGGTAATGTTTGCTGACGCTGTGTTTTGTTTGTTTGTTTGTTTGTTGTCGTTATTTTTTTCCCCACAAGCAAGAAAACAGCAGTGAAATAGATAGAACACTGAGACTCAGTTTTGATTGAATGAGTGTAGATGAGTGTTTTGAATAAATTTTTCCCCAAATCAAACCCGAGGGAAGACTTGACTCTGCAGTTATATATTAAAAGAATACTTAATCGGACTGACTTACATGGAAAATGCTGACTCCACAGTATATGGCAAACGCTCTCGTAAGGTCTTCATCAAACATTGTAAAACAAGAACCTATAAAAAGTCAAAAATGACGGATTTGAGAATGTTTATCAAACATAAAGCGGCTTGGAAGAAAAAATCCGAGTACTCGGAGTCGAACCGATGATATTCCGATTTCTAGTCCAGATGCTCTACCACTAAGCTACAGGAGACTCGTGGGAGGTAAGGCCACTAAACTATGGGTTTATGTGACAAACCTGGGCTTGCTGGGCTTGTAAAAGGAAGTCGGTGTCGTTTCAAGACCACGGTAGTGTAAGGATGCAGCGTTACCGGCTACTTACCATTTATTTTGTTGCACAGTTGCGCTACTCCGATGACTCCTAAAGATAAAAATTTGGATAACTTATTAAGTTGATAGAGGTGTTGAATGTTCCAGAGTGGTTTTCCATTCTCCTCTTTCGAAGAACGTTTTGTCATCGCGTCGCATCCAATGATCTGCAGGCGTGTATTCTTTCGCGCGAGTGTGCCTTATTTTCCACGGTCGCCATCTTTGATTTAGAAAGTGGAAGAAGACTGGGGCGAGTAAACGCTCGCGCATGCACCACACTTACATGTATGAGCGTACGTGCCCCTAACCCCCTCTACTCCCCCACCGAATAAAAATAAAATAGAATAAAAAAGGGTTTTGAAAGTTTTCGAGCACTAAAGCTAAGTTTGACGTTATCAAGGCCTTATAATCTTAATGCACTATTTTCCCACTTTTGATAAGGATTCAATTTGGCTAATCAACTCTCTACAGGGTTTTCCTACTTCATCCATTAATTAGATAAATCTATCCCGGGGTTGGGGCAAAAACCACCTCACCCAGGGAAAACTTAATCTTTTATGTCCTCATAAAGAACTTTGGAAAAGAAGTTGCGAATATGGCTAACGCAGGTGCTCGAAATAACGGTAATACTAACTCGCAAGTCAAAGCACATAAGTCAACTTGCATCTCCCTTTGTCCAGCGCCTCACTCTTATTTAATGTTAGAATTATCCTATTAACCTACCTTGTTCATCTTTGATAGGAAAACACAGTATGTTTCTGAAAATTAATCAGGCAGCAATGAGCGTCAGAGTCCGATTGAAAAATAAAATGATGATTTGACGTTAATTAACATCAGCGGAAAACATAAATTCGACTGAAGAGGCATTCTATTCGGGGTTTTATGGTAATATGTCTTACCTCGTTCTGAAGCCAGTTTTTTCATCCAAACCTTTATAGAACAGTGGATGGCTGTAAGCGTCTTTTATATTCAACATCTTCCCTGACAAACAATTAAGCAGACAAAAATAAAAGGACGAAAATAATATTGCAGGAGGGCTTAAGTCAAGCAAATAGTTTAGCTCGATTAGAGTCTGATTGGACACTTTAATAATGGTAAGGTGTCAGTTCCCCAATTTTAGCAACATTTCATTAACTATTACCGTCAATAGAGGGCTTAAGCAAGGACGTTTTTTAGTAATGCACGCCAACCAGAAGTGGACTTTTTTCATTCTTGGGCAATGGTTTTGCCCAACTTTTCAGGTGAGTGGTTTCCACAAGAGTAAAAACAGTAGCAATACGAATTCAATAACGTCAAGGAATTTTTAAAGGGAAAAGCCTCATTTCCGATTGACGTGCGTCGCTCAAAAACGTTTTTGCTTAAGCTCCCTAAGAGCAGCTTTGGACTACTAAGCAGAAAGGTCGCGGGGTGTATCTCCGGGCGTGCATCTTTTAAAACTCCTGAAGAGATATTGCACCCGGGACGTGTTTCGCATCCATTTATTTCATCCATTTAGTTCTGGTGCAAAGTAGGCCTAATATCCTACCAAGATCTCTTAACTGGAGAGAGCATTTCATCACTCGTAAGCTATTTTGTCCGCCAAAAAATAACGATGGCCGCAATACAGTGGTATACCGCTAAAAGTTGACTGTAATAACAACTTACGAGCTTAGAAGGTCAGTTTAAACGCAGTTTCTGAAACAACTGAATTAGTAGTATACCTGTGGTTGCCACACAACCAACAATCCCTTGGGTTACTGGAATCCTCACTTCTGGCTCCTACATAGGAACAAAGAAAAGCAGAAAGAGGGTTTATTCACTGCGACTCAACAGCCTTCTCAAGATTTTTGACCTCATAAACGTCATCATCATCATCATCATCATCATCATCATCATCATCATCATCATCATCGTCATCGTCATCGTCATTATCATTAGGAAGTTTTAGCAACGACGACGATGACGGCAACGGGAACGTCAAAACAGCAATAGGTTTAATGAGCAAAACTACAACCTTGCACATGCATCACGCATTTTTGTACATTTCTTGGCCGTTACTGCACGACTACGACGTGAAAATGCCTATTTCCACGTTTTATGGAGGACGTAAACAAGCGACGGCGAAATTTTCTTTCTCTTTCTAAATTTGAGTGCGGTCCCCAAGAAATCAACTGCTGGGAAATTTGTCTACATTAGACATTTTCAGCGAATTGGAATAAACGCGACAAAGTTTGACAAAAAGCGAATTCATTTAAAAGTGACGCTTTCGCTGCCGTCGCCGATGCTGAAACTCCCTTTTATCATCAACAACGTCATCATCATAACATCATCACTTTTTCCATTTATCATAAATGCCATTTTCATCTGGCCCCAGTTGTTCAGAAAAGGTATACTGCTGTCCACCGGAAAAAGCCCTATGCAGTAGTGGATAAGCGTTAGAAAAACCAACTGCGTTATCTACAGGATGGAGAATTCATCCACTGGATAGCGCTATCCACCTTTTGAATAACTGGGGCCTGAACGTCACGCGTCATGTCAAACTTCTCGTCCTCTGACAACACCCCCTTCTCCCAAAGGAAAGAATGAGAAAAAAAAATTAAACAACAATTGCATTTGTACCTTTTAACTCTTCAGTGCCCCAACAAAACAAAATCCATTTTAAAGAAAGACCGCAAGGACTTAGGGCGAAATTGCCTTGAGAGAAATTGTAACGTCCGCGTACCTTTCTGTCGTTTCCATCAGTAGGAATTTCTCCATCAAACACTTTCGCAACGAGTTCGTCTCTTTCTTTATCCCACAGGAATAGGGAACACCTATACAAAACAAGGAAAGTTTAGTAAAGCAGCACTACAGCACTACATGTTCAGTGACGTTAGAACTTATCTTGATATTCATCACGCAGTTCATTTGGTCCCAAACATATTAACAAGCGTCATCCACTTGTTACCTGCCTTATTAAAGAAAGACAGGGACAATTCTAGGTGTCTAGTGTCAGTTGAAGCACAGATGGATATCCCACTAAAAGGACATGTTCGTTAAGAGAACTGACCACTTTAGTGTCGGGCTTAAAGGTGTCCGTCTGCAAGAAAGGTAACTGTACAGGTCTATATGTAGTAAGTTTTCTGACGGCCTGAGGCACGTTTAATTTGTGCTCACATATCAGCTATATTGTATTTTTAATTGTTTACTTTTAATTCGCAAGTAGACGGCTATTTTAAGGATGTTTTATGCCTCTGGTTTACCTTTCAGCATTTGTCAAATTGCGGGCCTCTGACATTATTTCGCTCAGCAACACACTTACATCATCTGTAACAAAACCATTACAAAACTATGAGATAAGGAATTAAAGCCAGGAAAAATTACACAAAAGTGGCAAAAAAGAGATTAATAAACGGAAAGTCCACAGCCTTGCGCGAGGGCAAGACGCATTTTCAACCGATCGATGACAAATGCAGCATGCATGAAGAAGAAATCAAAAGCTTAAAAAAAAATTCTTACCTACAAGGGTGAAGAGGTTCTTGGCAACTTTAAGCAAATGCTGTGCAAGAAAAAGATAGAAAATAGAAAAGATTTCGCCAGTGTTTTCACCATACCAGATACCTTTTCGTTTCAGCACGAATAGCTATCCTATGCTGAAACGAAAAGCTATCCCGTACGTATAGTATGAACACCTATCCGATAGAGCGGTTTTCACTGGACTGTCGAAAGTAATTGAGGAATTGGTTTGGTTTTGGTTTTACTACGCCCTTTGGTTGGCTAGTGTATTTACTTTGGTTTTGGTTTTACGACAGTCAAGTGAAAACCGCTCTATGACATTGTGACTCTCCACTCTAGAGGTCGGCGCGGCGCAGCTTCGATTCCTTATGGAAAAATCACGCCGAAATCACCGTTCTTTTGTGTGAACGCGCAGAAGTCCTATCCGCCATAGTTTTCGTGCCGACGCAAAGGCCATCCGGTCAGATAGTGTGAACATAGCCTGAAACCAAAAAGACCTCACATGCTGAGTTCTTTAACCTCTAATGGCTACGGTTATTCCGTTGCAACTTTGAAGACACATCTTAAGCTTTTCCGAAAAAAAAAAATTCGGTGTAAATGATTCAATTCCAGAAATTTTGCTACCGTGGTAACCTTGCGTCACACTTCTCCTATCTACTGTCCCTGAGGTACATGTAAGAAAGAGCCGTTACATCTCGTCTAAATTCAACCATCGGCGTCCGTATTAAAGGGGTTTGACTGTATGTTCAGTGTTGTCCCCATCAGATCACCTGACGTTCTCAAGGAAATTCTCCTTTACTCTAATGCATATGCAAGTTCAGCGGATAAGACGTTATTTGAAGTTTTCTGGGACCGTCCCTTGGTCTGAAAAGGGAAAACTATTTTGTTTTCAAGCCGGCGTGAAGCAGTCCATACGCCGGTGTAACTGTTTGTCGTAAATGGGCAGAAATTTAGCCTGCATAACGGGTGTTTTTTTTTTTCGCCTTTTTTTAAGCAAGCAAAGGCAAGTGCGAGGCGAGCAAGGAGCGCCAGATACGCAAGACAGGGACGGGGAAGGCGAAGAAAAAAAATATTACCTAATGGAAAATAACAATAGTGTCTCGCGTTCCATTCCCGCTTCGTGCTTACCTTCGCTCGCTTAAAAAAAGAAGAAAAAACAACGCCAGGTGTTATGCAGGATAAAAACATTTACATGTGACAAAACTGATCTCACCTCCTGCTGTCTTTTGATCACCATTTCTCTCTCCCATTCTAACGTATGTTCAAGGTGAGCTGCAATATTCTCACAGCAAAACTGCGTATTTTCTTCATCAAGACTTGAAAATCTAGCAAAACAAAAATAAAAGAGGAGAAAATCAAGAACACGTCCCGTGCCGGCAACATTGAAACAACTGAAGACTTGAGAAGAAAAAAACAGCTCAACAGTGCCTAAAAATAATCCGATAAAGGTCTTATCCCAGAAAGAGCAGCTATCGAACAGCCTAATTATAAACAAATTATTATATTTCTACGCTGATGCGTTTTCGAAAACATCCAGCTCCATTCAGAGGAGTATTCGCATCGTTTAAGAACATCCCGACTGGACCATGTAGTTCACTTATCTGGCAATACGGCGATTTACGAATCCCTACTACGATACTCTCAAATACGTTTGTAAGAAGACCCTTGTTTTTGTCCGGCCATGCAAGTGCACCATAAAGCTACACAAGAGACCACCGTTTCCATAAGACTCTATGTTCATGAGCAATTTTCGACATGACTCAGTTTTCATAAACCAAACGCTTCTAGACTGCAGAACGGGCGGATTGACAGGGCGGAGGGTAAGCGAGAGGTGGGCGTGGTGGGGGGGCGCCAGACAGGGGCGGCGGACGGAAAGGGAGGCGAAAAATACAAGCACAATAGAAATAAATAAATTCTAAAAATTAAAGTAATGATACTTTTTTCGCCTCCTTTCCGTCGCGCGTCTTGCGCTTCATGGTCGCCCACGTCCGATTCGCCTGAAAAACAAAAAAGGCAAAAGATATCGCCTGTTCTGCAGGCTAAAGCGCTCAAACAGTACGTGTTAACAAACAAAAACAAACAGACAGACAGACAAACAAGAAAACGAACTAAAAACAACAACAACAACAAAGAAAGTCTACGTGTGGACGCACAGTCTTGCACAGCTGAAAGTCGCAAACCAGGAAGATATGCAGCACAGACCAGCAGTCAGTGACCAGTAGTTACCTTGCTTCTTTCAGGTTTTTGTTAAAGACACAGGCAACAGCTATCACAGTTCCTGTCTTGATGCTTATTACCGGGACACACAGTATGGACTGGACATGACAATCTGTTAAGGGCAAGAACACTCTGAGTCAGTTCATATGTAAAGTAAGGGACGAAGCACTGGCCCAGAGCATAACCCCAAGTAAGAAAATACAAGACAGTCTTGGACTTTGGATTCCACACTGTGGATTCCGGATTCCAGGTACTGGATTCCGGATGCTTTGTCAGTGGAACTTTGATTCCGGATTCCAATCCTTGGTGAGACTCCAGATCCTAGATCCAAAGTCCAGAATTCCGGACTCCACAACTCAAATTTCCTGGATTCAGCGGCTGGCGTTTAGCCTCCCAGCAGATGTTGTTAGGGCTTCGTCACGCGTTCCTTTAGCTTTCTGACGAGCCAAAAGAACGTCTGCGTGGGAGGCTAGACTCGAGCCTAAGATTCCACAAGCAAAAATTTCCCGGATTCTGGATTCCGCTCCATGGGGCGAAAAACGCGTCCGGCCCGGCCGACTAGCCTCTGATAACCGGTCTTACGATACTACGACGGCGACGACAACGGGAACGTCAAAAAAACAATAGGTTAAATGAGCAAAACAACAACTCTGCATGTGCATCACGTTTTTTGTACACTTCTTTGCAGTCCCCGCACAACTACGACGTGAAATGACCAAATTTTAAGCTTACTTGAGAACGGGAAGGCGATAAATTCTACGATCTCTGTCAGAACTCGGGCGCGGTCCCTTCTCTTCAGCGCCAAACTAAATTCCCTTCTTTTAAGTAACTGGGCCCTTTGGAGTAATCGCGAAAAAATTGAAAGGATGCGAAGTCTATCTTTCAGCGACGTTTTCATGGACGTCGCCGTTGTCGGATCGTAAGGTCCCTCAAGCTGTCACCTCGGAGCCCGGACGAGTACGAGCTCACCTACCTCTTATCGCTCTTGCGGCCAGTGGACTGATAGCCTGTTCCAGGCGTTCGGATAGTGGAATGCGGCGCTCTTTTTTCTACTCACATCTCGTTGCGCCTTTCCCACGATCTGAATTCCTGGAAAAGGCTACTGGTCTGAGTATCAGGCTTTCCTTAGGGGTTAGGGGAGAGGGCGCAGGACGCAGCGGGAGACCCACGCGTTTGGAAATTTAGTAGAAAATGTTTATTTCCCTTCTGTTTGATATTTCTTCGCTGTGTATTTAAATCCTATTTGTGCCTTTATAAATTTTGGCGTATTGAGGTGCACAGGTAGCTACGCCTCCGGCTATATCCAGATACATGTGACTATCCTTCAGTTTTCCGCAGGTAATCGTAGTCTGAAATGTCATTGGAAGATAAAATTACAGAAACAGATCTCTGCTGACCAGCTGTTATTTTTGAAACTGAAATCAAAATGGCTACCGGTGACATTTCAGTGCGCAACAAGGAAGGTCTTCTTCAAGCAGATGCTTTCTGAACGCAAGATGCAGGTACTTTAAGTTTTCTTCGTTCTTTTGCATTTGATTTTGTTACGCCTACTATTAAATTAACCACGTCACTCGCGCGGACAATGTACATATAATTTATCGCGGGTTGGTTGGAAGAGCAGATTTATTTAATTATTGGCGGGATAAATGGAGGGGCAGATTTATTCGGTAAACAGTTTACATATTATTTGACTAATTATTACATGCCTGCCTCAATTAGGACTTTTAAGCAATGCATTTACCACCGTACCACCGCATGCATACCAAAACTGTGCCGCAGATGGCGTTGATAGCGTCGAAAAAGAGCTACTTGTGTTCAAGTCGGGATCAGGAAAAATTAACATCCAAGTCACTGGGAATTCATACATGCATTTTCCCTACAATCAGTAACTTTTCTTAGATCACTATTGCCTCATGCGGCTCAAAGAGACTGATGTGAAAACGAATATTCAAGAAACAGTGAAAACAAAGAAAAAACTCACAGCTTTAAGAGCTTTTGAACAGGAATGCCTTTGCTGTTAAAAAAGAGAATTTTTCCGTAAGGATCATCGAGATCGAGCACTTTGTGTTACGGGCTGCCATCTTGCATTAGTGTCAGAACTACTTAGGGGGGCGGGAGCAGTTTGGTAGGAAGCGAGAAAAATAGAAAATACCCCCCCTCCTCAGAGCTATAATCCCGGACGCCCGCCCCCTCGGTACATTTGAAAATCAAGATACCCGTTAAGACACGGTATATCTAAACGATCTCACGAAAAAATAGGGGACTGTGAACAGTCTACATAACAAATTACACGCATTGCATGCATCTTACCCAATCCATTTACCTGTTATTCTTTGTAAGTCGTATCTGTACTTTGAGTCCTGAAGAGAGAAAGGAATATAATTGAAATCAGTTAAACACCTTCAAACACAGATCTACTTCAATTAATTCCAAAAAATAACGAAAGAAGGTTTTTTAGAGGTTTTTCCCTGTTCCCTGACCATAATTATACCATCATGAAAGGCTTACCTCGGTTATGTTGGACACATTTAATTTTCTTTTAGATTGAATGACATCTTCAAATATACTTCCCGAAACCTCAAATCAAAGTAATAATAGTACATTAGATACTACCATAGAAACATATCAATAATAAGTCGCAGACGTCTGCTTGTACATGTAAGTGGAGAAAGTGGAGTGTTTAGCCTTACAGTGAAATGAGTGAATATACAGTTTTCTTTGGGGTTATACAATGCAGACATCCACCTGTCTCCAGGGTAAGGGGCCTCTGATCCCCAGCACTAAAATGGGCATGTGCCTGCCAGCCAACAGGGTATGGTTTAATCGGGGTAACCTTTGGAAAAAATTAATCTCTTAGCATCTTTAACAGAGTTGTGAGACAAATGGAGCTTGTTTAAAACAGAGTTAGGCCGGGTTTTGAGAAGGCTATGATGGCATACCCGGCACCAAATCTTCTTCCCTTAAGTCCCCCCCCTCCCCTCCTAACCTACAGCAACTAATTTAATACCATAATAATATATTATTACCTCTATTCTCTTTTCTTGCACACTGCCTCTGCTTTCTTGCTACATGATCAAAAGAAAAAAAAACAAAACAAAACAGAAGAAGAGAAGTTCAAGGTCACACTAATTTAAAAACAGTGCAGTAAAGCAAAAAAATAAAACAATTGTATCTACTGAATAAATCGGGGATTCCGGTAAGATGCAATGGTGCATTGCACTCATTACATAATCCATTAGATTTTTTGGTACAATTAATAATAATAATAATAATTTTACATCTTGCCACATGATGTAATTTGCTGAAAAGTCCACAGAATTTCCTAGTATTTTTTTGCACTGCTTTTCATGCTCCATATCGCTTGTTTAAACTGACACGTGGTTCAATTTAAGCTTTTCAAAAGATCGTTAAGTGTAGTAATAATAATTATTATTATGTACTGACAGTACATGACTGTATGCTAAAGAACTGGAAAATGAAACATAACAATAATTATTATAACACCAAGGGATCTAAAATCCGTGAACACTGTCACAAAACCAATATTAATAAACCATCTGGAAATTCCCACTCACTCACTGTGTACCTTTTATTAGCACTCAGTCAACATTACCTTATTATGAAGTTCCCCTGCTGTGTGATCTAGTATAAGAACAGTACTGCTTTCAGAATTTGTCTGTACTTGGAGCTGAAAATACAGAAGTTTACTAATTCATATTGTTTCTTTTTTCTTTTACAATGGGCATGTTGTAAAGTATAGTGTACATTTGAATTTGTATTAAGCTTTTCCAGAAACTCATAAACCCCAAGTATGAGTATCTGGTTTTTCTCAATAAAGTTGTTCATTAAAATCTTAAGGTAAAAAATACTGCTAGTTACAGAAATTAAAGTAATAAAGACAAGAGGGGAATCCATAATTGAGCTCCAGCTGTATGCACTGATAGTCGCCCATACAGACCTTGTCAGAAATGTTGCTAAATCCCTTCATTGGGAAGGAAGTCATGCATGATGGAGCCCCTGTCTTAATGCATGGAAGGCTTTAGACACTGATTGCTCTTTCAATAAAACTATCCAATTGCTCCACGAGTGGATAACTTGCTCTATAAGACACTGCATGATATCATTAATATTATAAAATGCACTTACAAATTCCCCTATTTTCTGTATAAGTGGTCCTATTTCCTTTTCATATGATCTGCCTGAAATGTAATAGTCACTCATTCAGGCACAAGAAGCTTTCTACAACAACATCTTCAGAGATACATGTACCAACACCCAGAGATCTAGAATCCGAGGACTGTCTCTTTTACAGTGCCTGACACTCCCCATACACCCAAGTGATATCCACCTAGTACCCAGTCATAACATGGATGTGGCTCTAAACATTATACATAGTCCTAAAAGATGTACAGACCACAGTGCTTCTTTGGCTCTAAAAAGAAATGTAACCACCTCCATTCTCTCCCAGAGATTGAAAATGAGCAAAAAGGTTGCCAAAAAAACATGCTATAAACTTCAATTTTTTTGGGGGGGAGGGGGGGGGGGGCGGTCATTAAAATCTAAAAACAGGAAGTTTTGTGCTGCTTACCCTCACCATACTTGTACATGTATAAACAACCTGTAATTCAGGGTTAACGTGGCAGAGTTTGGAGTGTAAACTAAGCTGAAAACTGAACTGCACCTGACAATCACAATTCTTGTTTGAACAGACCACCAGTGTGATGAGTTATAGTGTTTGGGTGACTGATAAAAATAATAGAGACTTGCTGAGACACTGGGAAACAAGTGGTTAAAAATTTGAGGCAGACTAAAAGTTGAAAATTCTGATACTCAAGCAAAAATAATCAAAAAAGAGGCTTGAGAATTGTTGGAAACGTTTGGATGAGAATTTAATGTATTTTTTTTTTCAGAAGACTCAACATGATTTTTGTTAGAACGTGCCAGATGAAATTTGCCTTTAGAAAGTCACCATATGTACTTACTAAAAAATTCTAAAAATGTCTTCTGTCTCTCATATTCGTGGACATATTTCCTTCTTTCAGTTATGTGATGGTAGCTTTGAAGTATCTGGAACAGAGAAATATGACAGACAGAAAGGAGTTGTTTTTTTTTTTGTTCTATCATATGCACAGATATGCAATATACAATCCTATGACACATTCAGTACCAGACAAAAAACATGTACATACTGTACACAAAAAATATAAAAATAACAACAACAAGAACAGTGATGATGGTGATGATGATCATGATGATCATGATAGTTAACAAAGTCTCTCTTTAAAATGGTTATTCTACTCCTTTCTGCTGATGAGTTAGAGGTAGAGGAAAATAAAATTTAAAACAAGTTTAAAATTGAACCATAACCAAATTTGGTACTAATTCATACATGTGCACTGTTAGTGTATTATTACAGCAGTTATGGGACTTTTCAAAAGTTTACATATCAACTCAGATTTAAAACATGACAAACCTGCTGCTCAGTGTAATCAAGGTGTGGAAAAGTATCTTCTAAGATAACACAAAGAACCTTGAAATGTAGAAACAAAACCATAACCTGAGTATTGCTGTGCAAGATTTAATTCTGCAGCAAGTTGTACAGGAATAACAGAAGGGCGATGTGATTTTTTTTTCCAAATCCAAACATGAAACAGATACAGCTGTATTAAGAAACTACAGTAAAAACCCACAAATAAGAACCTGTTAGGCTAAAATTTGCCACAGTTAGTTCCCCACATTTGATCCATTAGCTGCCGTGAACTCATCTAAAACTCTTTTTGGTTTATTTATCATGTTTTTGAAAAACGTCAAAATGAAAGTGAAATAAAGGGAAGTGTAAAGATCATTTCAACTTAAGAAAATAAATGTGTTAGTGTACTGTCTACGAAATTTCCGTGTAGGAATGGGCTGGAATGTCAGCAATTGTCACTTGATAACTGATAAACTTCCTCTGGGCAGTGTTGATTTGTTCTGTTTCCTATTCACAACTATTGTATCACTGACCTATTATCGAGAGATCATTGGATAGTTGCATGCTTGTTATGAGCTACGCTTCTTCAAAGATCATAAAGTAATTTTCTGATTTTCTTGTTCTATTCTTGAACATTCCACTGCCTATTGGTTATTTGAAAACAGTAAAATTTTGATGTTTTTCAAAAACATGATAAATAAACCAAAAAGAGTTTTAGATGAGTTCACAGCAGCTAATGGATCAAAATAATGTGCATATATGCGTGCAACCTTCCAGTATAATTGTACTCGAGAATGATGCACTGACTTGTCATGAAATAGATTTTTACCTCACGGGTCAAATTCACACTTGTGGAATGTAGCATATTATCCCGTTATTCTCTAACAAACTTGTGATTGGGTATAATGGGTGAAGTATTATTAGCTGTTATTAGCTGTTATCCCGTTATTCACTAACAAGCTTGCCATTGGATCTAATGGGTTTGTTATCTGATAACATTAGACTAGCTCTTAGCCAAAGATAATCTTGATCCTGATTGGCTCTAACAGCTGATAACAGGCAATAACAGCTAACAGCAATTAGTCCCAATTATATTGAACGAGTCCCAATTAAATTGAACGGTTGTTATTTGTCGCATTTAAAACAGGTTCTTATTTCTAAAATCTATAATTTTGTATGTACACTGTACTTGGGCAAAAGGAATTCAAAATTCATGTGGTCACTGCTTACTGCTAATGAGTCCTTCTTCTCCCAGTCATTTTTACACAAATACCAATTTGGTATACAGATTTTATATGAGGAAAAAGCTGAATACCACTAAATTACTCATAGCTACCATGCTTTTTTTCCGCAGAAAATGAGAACCCATGCAGAAACCTAAATAGCATAAATTTGTGCTAATTACCATTTATACAAGAACCTGTTTAGGATTGGAAAAATGCAGGTTCTTACTTGCAGATTTTTACTGTATATAAATTATATGCCACTATAATGGCACTGATATCAGTTATACTTGATGGAATTATCTGTACAGTGTAAAAAAAACATATCTTCAAATATCTGCAGTGATGATATTGTAGAAAATTTTTGCAAAGTATGTGCATGTTACAGGTCAAAATCAAATTCAGGATAAAATTTTTTAACCTAGATTGATTCTCATTTTCACTCGTCTCCTATATAAGCCCTAATTATTCAAATACGTGAATTTAATTTTCTGTATACCTAACATATTATACGTGTGCAGTGGAAAAAATATACAAAGCATTTACAGGGCATATCTCCAGTTTAATACTTGCAATGTATGTCATTCATGTACCATGTCATACTTAATGTCCTTATTAAAAGGTACAAAAAACAATGGAAGAGTATTTTGGATACAGCATTGCATCCAGTCTGGTGAAACTGGCCAGGGTTTAATTCCCGATCATTTATGCTATTTTGCTTGTTACTCAGTGTTGCTGTTCTGTTGTTGTTAACTTGTTTTGTCTATTGTTTTTGTTTTTGTCTTGCTCCTTTTTGTTTTGGGGGTTTTTTGGTTTTCTTTTTTCTTTATATTTTTCTTCTCTTTAAACTCTAGACACCAGGCAGGGAAGGGTTGTTAGGGAAATTCTTATAAAGATCTACAGCTGGAGCTTACCATGATAAATGCTACTAGTTTGCCATCCTTATGCAGTGGGGACAGTATGACTGAAAGAGAAAGTACATAGATGCTGCAAGTTAATATTGTATGCTATTACTTATATTCAGACAGATCTCCTGCTATATGTATAATTTAAAGGAGTTGTGTAGCACTCATGCACTTTATCCATGTTTGTTTTTTTGTTTTTAATTACAATTTAAATAAATATCAATTATTGTTATCATAAATAATACTATTGTATCTTTTTCTATTTGAATTTATTTTACTTTTATATATACACACTGTATCACAAAAGATTTGTAAGGCCAGCCCCGTATATAGCTGAACAATGTCAACTCTCAGTATTTTTAATAGAATTTTATTGCAGTTGTAAGCAAAAATATTATTGCTGCAATGTTTGTACAAAGAAATAAAAAGCCATTATTAGTATTCGTTAAACACTCAAAATTGCAATGTACATGTATCAGCCTTCAGGTTCCAATGAGGCATTTTTCTTTCTGCAGGTTCCACAGGTATGATGCTAATCATTAAACAATTTTACATGTGTACTGAAAGAAACAAACCTTTTTGGTTGGTCTGTAGTTCATTTACAGGAGGCAGTAGAGCCAAAGAGGGATCTTCTGTGTCAATGCTATGTGCAACCACCCGTTTCTTGCTGTTGATGGCCTCCCTAATGGCAAATATAATCCATGGTTTATTCTGTTTTTAGTGCTCAGTCAGCTTTAATAGTGAAGCCTGTGTTACAATACATGTAAGTGCATTGGACTCTCATTACTGTCCCTCAATAAACAAAAATTAACTATGAAAAATAATAAATTTTAAAAATATGGAAATAATTAGCAATTAATGAATGAGGCTGAGTAGGATATGAAGCATTAAGCAGATTGAGGAGGGTGTTATCGGACGAGGTGGATGATACCCTCTGAGATCTGCTTAATTCTTTATATCATACCTGTACAAAAGCCAAATTCATTAATTGCTTTATTATTCATTGAAAATAATTCTTAGTTTAAAAACAAAGCTAAAACAACCTAATACCAGCATCGATGTTAAGTTTATCTTTGATAGTGTATGTTTAGGTTTGTCCAGCTCCACAAATATTCTTCAAATAGCGGATGTCGCCCTCCGAGTTGTCTTCTTGCTGTTTTTGATATGCTTTAAGCCATTATTTCCCCTAGTTCCAGCTGTAGTTCCTACATATACTCATGAAACGAGTGAAGTGTCCGCCATTTTAGTTTTCACAAATATGGAGACAACTCAATCTCATCCCCAGGTCTTCTCGGTTAACGGTGCATTAACCTATAGAAGGCTTCATTGTTGACATCATTTCCTCATTAAACACAAAAATCTTCCAAATTTGGTCATCAGTAACTGGTTATGGTGAATTATGCATGTGCTTTTAGCCAATCAGAATTGGGGAAATATTTCGAATGAATAATAAACATTATTAAGAGATTACAGCCACTGAGGTCCACTTCAAAATACAGGGTGTCTGCTTAAGATAGGGTCTGCTAAAGTATGAAGTTCAGACCATGTTACCATTGTAAAACTCTTTTAAAACTTCAGGGCCCAGTTGTTCAAAAGGTGGATAACGCTATCCATTGGATAAATCTCTATTCACTGGATAACACAATTGATTTTCCTAATACTTGTCCACTGAATAGCGATTTATCGGGTGGATAGTGTTATCCACCGTTTGAACAAGTACCGGAGCCTGATCTTATTTAAAATGCAAAAAGGATATGGTGTTTCTTGGAGGAGGGCATGACATAAAATTCTGAGAAATAATCTGTTACCTGACAATCCCAGTGTGAGGTAGCATAGGCGTGTTGATGCCAGGCCTTGCAAGAGCAAGAAGTTCATCAGACTCAGGACTTAACACAAACACCAATGCATCAGCCTGCAGATACAAAATGGCTCATATTTTTATTATAAACTGGTTGATATTTGCAACTACACATACACAAACCAAAAACAATTGGAAATATGGTAGCATTTTTTACAGGGTTCTCATTAAGTGCTAGCAACTGGCTAAAAAACGAGGTACTTTGAGCTATGAGCTGTCTACTTTTGAGGGAAAATGGGTAAAGTGAGGGGGTAATTATAAGCCTCAAATTGCCTACACCACTGCTGATTGCTAAGCCACCTACTAATTTTCACTAATGTACTCTCAACTAATACGAATGTACATGGATGGTGTTCAGTCTGGTGTCAACATTGAGGCTTAAAGGGTGAACTTAATACAGGTCCTAAGTAAGGGTATAAGAACATACAAGGAAATGGCGTTTAGCCAGTGTTTAACAAAACTGTGTCTAAGCCATTTTCAGTCTGCCCAACACTTTTATAAAACACCATTATTGTGAAAAGTTTCTTGAAAGCATAAGGGATAGACTTGAAATTACATGTACATGCAGCACTTATTTTCTTAAAATTATACCCACTAAGAAAGATATTGGGGTGCCAACGATTTGCTAAATGACAGCCTAACAAGTTAGACAAACCGACCCACAGTGTATAGCCAAAAATATATGAGTTGGCAATAGAACTACATGAATCTACTTACTGGCAGTCATATTCAAAAGCTGACTTATTCAGCATTTATAAAATGCTTATTCAGCTTTTAGTGAATTCCTCTGGAAAAGAGCTACCAACGGAAATTTCAGCTTTTAATTTTGTTTACGTTAGCAAACATTCTTTGTCAACATACATGTAGTTTATTAAAATTAATTTTGTTTCCCTCCCCCACCATAGCAGTAGAAACATTCCCTTTCATAAGTGGCCCACATTTTGCAACAGCTATTACTGATAAGTACTTGTCAAAACAAACTTGAGCATGCTTGATGCTACCAACTTAGCATACAACTTGGAAATGGAGAAATGCCATTGACCATTCATGGCTGGAAGTACTAGAAACTGTCTTCAGCCCATTAAATGCAAATTACAATTTTAGAAATATTTTGACCCAAGATCCAAGAACTTATTACAGGTATTGTTGATACCATTGCCAAAAGAAAGCTTGAGCTCACTTCATGCAATATTATTATTCAAGCATCCAAGTTGGATCTGCAGAAATGTTATTGACCATTCACAGATGGAAGTATTAGAAACTGTCTTCAGCTGCCTTAAATGCAAATAACAATTCAAAAATGTTTTGACCCAGTTGATGCATAAATTTACACCTCAGAGGCAACCACATGAATTTCAAGGACTTTTGCAGATGCTTGTAAGGAAATTCATAACACATGTTTGTTTTTTTTGCAAATAAAGTTGTAATGGACAGAAAATCCATCTATTCGAACGTCCTATAAATGTGGAGTAAATTAATTGGAATACCCTGCTGCATCAGGGTGCTTTTGGCAGACATTTGTAAATTATACATAACCTAGAAATAAAAGCGTGGTGCACTATGAAAAAATATTGGTACTTCTTGTACATACGATTTTAATAACAACGACAAGTACACTGATTTCACACCCAGCTTTAATCCCCTGTATTCTTATTTTCCACTTTTAATTGCACAAATCTCCTTAATTACAGGACACAAAAATTAAACAATGAAAGTATTTTTAATCCTCCATCGCACATTCTAAAACATGCACATGTAAACAATGCTCATTGGGGAACATTGTTAAAACACAAGAAAGGTATTTCAAAGCACAAGGCACTGGAAAATTAAATCGCCAAGAATGTAACACAGAAATCGAGCTTGTGGTATTTACAGACGGTAAATCGACCTGCCAGAGTTTCAATTAAGCCCTTACGTGACCTATTAAAGAATATGAAAAACACCACTTTACGTCAAGCTTTAGGCAACACAAACAAAATTCGATTTTCTGTGTGCTTTCAATTTGTGAATTTTAAAATCGCTTGAATAGAATAACAATTTCGTCCTTATTATACGGCCAAAAACAACCTAAATGATTCATCGCCCTCAAAATGGTTCGATCACCACGTTTAGAAATAAACACAATCTCATCTACTTACTTTACACTTTACACATAGCTTCTAAAGACCATGAGCGGCTGTTTTAAACCTTGTGAAAGCTAATGAATTTTGAGCTATGTAAAATGTAAATATTCTCAAGTGGACGCCTTCAGGTCGTACCATTTCTTCTTTAGCTTCAAGAAGGAATTGTTACGACGACCCACTTAGATGTAAATACGAAGTTCGCGTGTTCTATATGTAAAAAAGGAGCTCAAATTACAAATCCCGCTATACCGGAAATTTTGCAAAACACGAAAACTTTATACGAAGTGGAAATGGCGTCATTATTTTGGTTTTACCAGAGTCAAAATAATGAATTTTTTGCGGCGACCTAAGGCGAAAACGGAGATACAATATAAGCGTTTAAATAAATGACACAAATTGATAGTATTTATATGCATTTGGAAATATGCGTCCGTTTGCTTGCTAGGTGACGGTCTGCATTGTTATCAAGTGTCGCTAACGAAATCAACTTTGCCAATTTAAGCAGCAGTTGTAAGCTTTATTCGTTTTTTTTTTTTAGCCGTCATACTAACGATGGAGAAACAAAATTGCAATGAATATCTCAATAACTGAACGAACTAGGGACGAATAAGGTGAAAATCACCCATCCCAAAAAGAAAAAAAAATTACGAAAGGTCCACGGCCATAAAACACGGATGTGATTTTCTGAAATCGATGAAACTATGATGCTTTTGTGTTTCAAAATTGAAGATGTAAGATAACAGGTACACCGATCGGAATTTTATTGAGTCCTCTACCAGGCGCTGTTCTGAAACGTAAACAAACTATTTTTGTGGGCGAAAACAGACCTTGGAGAAGTGATGCGTGAACTTCATGCTTTGACTTAGCTTACCACTTGCGGCAAAAGCAGATGGATTGCCCTTTCAGCGCTCTCAGCCATGGACTTCAGGCCGCTCGCAAAGGTCAGGCACGAAAGAACATCCTGCAAAGGCAAATGAGAGGGGCTTCACTATTAAACTTATTAAACCGTCTGAATAGCCAGTCCACTCATGCGTTCTTATTACAAAATATACGTTTGGTTAGCGTAAAGGTAACACAACCGATGGCAATGAAGCCAGCAAGTGTCATTCATTTTGAAAAATAGCCAGTTGCCAGTTAAAAACGTATCGGTTGCAGGAACCTGAAGGTGTAAGCTACCTTCCGTTTAAATCGTTACTTGAGCTGGATCAACGTGATGACAAGCTTACAGCGAGGAGCGTTTAAATCCCTGCAAGGTTCGTTTGCATTTTAAAGAGGCGAGCTGTACTTACTTGCGTGGCCACTGACAAGTGCAACGTACATCGCTTCGCTTCGCCTCTGCTCTCCTGCGACAAACTTCTCAACATATTTACAACCCACACTAAACCTGAAACTAACATATGGAAGGGCGCAAGAAGCACTCTTGCCCTACTTTAAAGTTTAGAGACGACACTAAGGAACCCATAGCTTTGAGGTTTTAGTAAAAACTTCAGTCCGCATGCAAATCAGTTACACTAGCGCTCATTTGTCAAAATGCGGCTCTTGAACGATTCTAAATATGGCAGGCAGTTCGCGATAGCGCACATCTGATTGGCTGTAAAAATTCGCGCTAAATTTTTCTGTCAAGAGAAAGGCTGCTTTTATCAATGTTGTTGTTAAATATTCCGCTTATTATTACAGTATTATCACTTTTTTTAGAAAAAAAATTAGTATTATGAAGTCTTTCGCTTTCAAAAAATTCGTTCCTTTTTTTAATTTTTACAAGAAAAAATAAATACATAAATAAACTTGACGGGAATGTTCAATTACCCCAGCCAAAAGGCCTTTATCGCTCTAAAAACTGCAATCCCGTAGTTAATGAAATTTAACATATTTAAAACTCGTCATTTGAGCACTTCAGAATGACTTTATTACATTTAGATTTATGAGTACCCGACATTTTTGTTTCATCTGATCTTCATCCAGTCCAGTAGGTTTCCTTAATTTTGTTTTCTTTCGAATCATTTTACTTCACGCAAATTCAGCTAAACGTTACTTATCAAATTACTTTTTTTTGCCTACTGATATATCATTGTTGTCGTTGGATGTTGATGTTATTTTAATTTTAAATATATTTTTGAACATGAGTCGGGTGAGTATTTTAATTTATGACATTAGACCAAGTTGCTTTTATTAAGCATTATTTTAAAAAGTAAAAAATAATAAAAATAATATTAATAATAACACTAATGACAAAATAAAAGTTACAACAAAACTCTAGCCGGGTCTTATTTAATCGACGGGAATACACTACAGAAAAACATATTTCCGTATGCTGCCATACGGAAATATGTGACTGAACATGCAACCTTTTATATCAATAGTAGTCTTTGTCGCTCTGCTACTGACGGGAGGATTTAAATACATTAAGGAAGCTTTGAAGACGCCGAAAACAATTCAGCTGCAAACAACGTGGCAAATGTACGTTATTAATGGTTCTTGGACCGGAGTTACACGAAGTACTATTTCCGAAAATTCAACCATTCACACCATTGAAAGGAAATATTTCATCACGATCGGTTAGCTAGGTGATGAACTGAGCCCAGCCTACTGTACTGTAGCTTGCCTTTCAACGCGGTGAATATTTAACCTTGGCCTGTACCATCGCCTCCCATTATTTCTTCTTTTCCTTTCTTAACTATGTTTGTTTGTTTTGTTTTTGTTTGGTTTCCTTTTTTTTCCTCTATATTTTGGAATGTGAAATTAGTTCCTGCAGAAGGAATTTAACTGTACAGTGTGTCTACTGTACCATTATTAAAATAAATTTAATCCAAATTCAAGAATCACTGAATCAGATTGAATCTGATTTTCAGTTTAACTAAAATTGATGAAGAGCTTTTTACCAGAACATTTTCATGCTTTGAGAGATTTTTGATAAGCAGCTGAGAACATTCATAGAGACAAAAAGCGTATGAATCTAAGCGAAGTACGTGGCTTACCATTTGAATTAGTACAATAAATTACATCAATCATGATCAGCATATAGTCTACGAAAGAACACACCCCTCGATCTGGTCACATGAGTAGGGCCTGCTGGCACACTTCCATGAGACGGCTTGGAGCCCCTTATCAGAGTTACGTTTGTTGAAAATATAGTAGGCCGCGTGAATGATGTACGGTCGAACCTCTCCACAACCGCAACCTTGGGGATAGTAGAAAGCGGCCGTTATGGGGAGGTAAGGGTGTAATATGACAAATTTTTCTTTAGGAAGTACAACATGTTTATTGAGCTAAGTTGATGCTTACTGTATCCCATAATGATAATCCAATCATATATAACATTCAGAGATGAAATTCTAAAAAAAAAGACATGAACAACGTTTTTAATCAAAATGTTAACGTGAGAAAACGAGCAGGGTTCGCAACATTCGCTACAAGTTCGTAGACAATTCATGTTGACTTCAGCAGTTAAATTGGAACACAATCAAAATACTATCGATTGCATGGCATGATTAATAATCAATGAGCCACACGGGTCAAATTTTTATGACCATTCCTGACCTTTTCTTCAGTCACTGATAAAAAAACTGACCGTGGTCGAGAGGTCTCTTGGCAGTTGTGGACGCACTTAATTAGTAGCCGTTCAGCCATTGTAGAGAGGTTTAAATAAGAGCTAATGTATGGACTGTCCACCGGGCCAAAATAAAAAAGTGGCTGTTGTGGAGGTGTGGCCGTTACGTTAGTGGAGGTTCGACTTTACCTTTTTTAAATGGTACAACTATACCAATGCCCCTAAGGCAATCACGTCCACACGAATCTGCACATTTTTGAAACCGCATATCTTTTTTTTATCCGGATTCGTGTGAACAGTGCCTTAAAACGCCTCTGGAGAGCAGTTTCAAAACAATACGGTTTCGGTGACCGAATTGACTGGTTTCGTGTGAACGGAAGGCCGATCATTAATATCAAAAGAGTATGCAGTTTCAAAAGTATCTGGATTCGTGTGGACGAAGCCTAAGGCCCCGTCCACACGTATCCGTTTCTGTTCGAAAACAGATATTTTTTTTCCCTCCGGTCTGGCCTACCGTCCATACATATCTGATGAAAATGGTCACCGACATCGCCTCTTTTCAAAAACTCTCTCAAGACTGCAGGGTTTTCGGTAGCATTTGGAAGTACCGGATGCAGTGTTTCAGCTGGCGGACGTGCACCGTTCGCGCCGCTGGCACGAACGTTGAGTGCCGGATGCACCAACCCCTAAGGGGGTCCGGGGGCAGGCCCCCCGGGAAATTTGTAAAATTGGACTCTCTATACTAGAGTGCAACTGCTCCTGCATTCCCTGGACCGAAATAGGGTAACCAGGAACGTCTTTTAAGGCGTTAAAAAATGCTCATAAAAAAAGAAATATTTGACTGATTTGGCAATTATAATTATCTGTTTGCAGTTGTTCGTTTTTTAGTTGATTCCAAAGCGAACTCCAATCGGAATAAGTGTACGAATCACAGAGAACCCTGCAAAGCTGCGGCAAAATAAATGTTGCACATCTAGGATTAATCATTATTCTTAAATACATACACAGGAAAAAATAACGGATTCCCATTTTTGGATATTTTAGGGTATTTAAAGAATACCCATAAACATCCCAAATTTAGCAAAGTGAGACAAGTCCCAAACAGGGAATTCCCAACCAAGTTCCCTGATTGGGACTTGTCTCACTCTTCCAAATTTGGGATTTTTGTGGGTATTCTTTAAATACCCTAAAATATCCAAAAATGGGAATCGGTTATTTTTTTTCTGTGATAATACACTTACTGTCAACTTGTCTTTTCTTCGCCGATGGCGCAAAAAAAATCGTTTAAAACTTTTCCTTCCGGTGAGATGATGTACAAAGATTTACAAATGAAAGGTGAGAAAGACTGATTGGGACAGATGCTCTCTAATCAAAGGTCAGGGTCAGTTGTCGGCGAACTTGTCCGGTCAGTTATTATAGCTGGCAGGGGAGGGGGGAAGGGATAAGGAATGATGAATAATGATTTTATTATACTTGTCTATGACAGGAATAATCTCTATTTTTCCGATTGTATGCATTACAAAACTAAGCGAGTAAAATAAGGGTGAGGTAATTCTTTGGTTAATAAATGGTAAAAAACGATTTTCACACTTAGAAAATAATTATTTCGTGTGTAAAATACCTGTGACATCAGACGTCTGAAACCAGACATAGGTCAGACATCAGATGTCTGACACCAGACGTCTGACATTAAACATCAGACGTCAGAAACCAGACATCATACAAGAGACGTTGAAAACAAACTTAAATTAGACATAAGACATCAGACGTTTGACATTTGACGTCTAATATCTGAAATCAAACGTCTGCTTGCAGACTTCTGATGTGATAAATGTATGATTTCTGATGTCACACATCTGATTTCAGACGTCTAATGATCACTCGTATCATAACATCTGGCATCAGACGTCTGACGTCTGACATGAAACATCATACTTATAACAGAAATCAGACGTTTGACATGAGACATCATACATATATCAGACAAGGGACGTCCTACATATAAATTATGAAATCAGACGTGTGATATCATTCATCAGACGTCGGATTCATTTCATCAGACGTCTAAAATCTGACATCAGACGTCCGATTCCAGAAGTCAAACATTTGATTTCAGACGTCTTATGTCTGAGGTCAGACGTCTAACATCTGACATCAGTCATCAGACGTCTGACATCAGTAGTATAGGAGGGACCGAATTAACCCCTTTTTTGGGGGGGAATCTCATTAAGGTGGGGGGGAATAAATTAACGCCGATGACGTCATAGGCTATTGTCTTGATCTCATGAATAAAATGCGCAGGAATCTCATTAAGATAAGGTCGTGTGCTATTTAAAATTCGTTTAGGTTTTCTAGTTACTTTAAGGTCGATAAACGTCTTCGTTTTCTATTGGTTAGTTAGAAAATAAGAAAAGTTTTCATTGGTTAATTCATAGTGCCTGAGGAGTGGAGTCAAACTTGTTTCTGACTTAAAATCACTGAGACGTAACGTAATTATGCACTTCCTATTTCCTGCTGCTGTGATTGTCCTTGTTCCGGTTCACTGATTTTTGGCGGGCAAATCGTGTATATTAAAGAGGGTAAAGGCCAACTAGCTCTTTTTTTTACACTGCAAGCAATGTTTTACTTACCCCTCTCCTTTTCATTTTTTATTTTCCTCCTCCTCCACAATTTTATCATTTTCCTTCCTCAAATTATTTATTCCCTCCTCCTCCTCCTCCTCATTTTTATTGTTTTCCCTCCTCCTACTCCTCCTCCTCATTTTTGTTTTCCCTCCTCCTCCTCCTCCTCCTCCTCATTTTTGTTTTCCCTCCTCCTCCTCCTCCTTTTTATTGTTTTCCCTCCTCCTCCTCCTCCTCCTCCTGCTCCTCCTTTTTATTGTTTTCCCTCCTCCTCCTCCTCCTCCTCCTCCTCCTCATTTCTATTGTTTTCTCTCCTCCTCATTTTATTGTTTTCTCTCCTCCTCCTCCTCCT